AAAAAAAAAAAAAAAAAGAAAATCTGTGCCTGAAAAATAGAAAAAATATATAGAGAAGAGTGTAAGAAATACATGGCCAAAGGGTTTAAGATGCATGATAAATCTAATATAGATGTCAGTACCAGAGGATAAGAAAAGGTAAAGAATAATTATTTAAAGAGATAATTACTGCAAATATTCCAGAAAGCAACAAAAGATATTGTCAGAGTTGTAAGAAGCACTGTTAACCCAGACATCAAAGTAAACTGCTGAAAATGAAAGATAATCGTGTAATAGTAAAAGCTTCTTTGAGGAGGTGAAGGTTTTAAAAGAGCAAAAGAAACATATATGAGATTAAAAACCACAAAGCAAATAACATTTAGGTACACTTAATTTATATATCAGTAATTACATGAAGTTAAATATGACAAATCAAAGGCCAAGATGATTAAAAATTATTCAAAGTATAACTAAAACCTATATGATGTTTACAAATAACACATAATATATAGAAGGATATAAAAAGATTAAGAGTAAAATGAAAAAGAAAAGACACAAAGAAAATGATAAAGCTATCATGGCTATAATATCAAAATAGACTATAAGTCAAGAAATATTTGCTAGGGATAAACAAGTGACTTTCCATGATTAAGAAAGATAAAAGATTAAACCAGTCTAATTTGTATGCATAGCCTCAAAATGTGGTGTAAAAATGTAAATACCATAAGGAAAAAGAGGCAATCAATAACCTCAGTGGGACATTTTTTTGTACCATTCCAAGTAGCTAATAAACACCAATCAGACCAAAAAAATCTTTTAAAGATTTAAAAGGCTGAACACTATTACTAAACTTTCCTGGCTGCCTGGTACTGAACAAAGGATAACAGAAAATACAACCAGGTATACATGTGACATTTCTAAAAAACTAAGTATACACAGGCCAGTACTTTTTAAAAGACAAAAATCACACCAAATATATCCTTTAACAGAAGAGGAATTAAATTAAAAACCATTAACAAAAGCTCATTGATAGTTTCTATGTTTGAAAATTAAACATAAATCCCTAAAACTATGAAGCAAAGAAAAAAAAACACACAAAATCAACATACTGTAAAATGAATGATAAAACATAACTATCTGATGTAGCTAAAGAAATACCAGAGGTATACTAAAGAGGTACTATACTTGATAGCTCCAAATGTAGGTATTAGGAAAAAACAAACTTTAAATACAGGGTCTCAGTAGTCATCAAGTACATTAAGAGTGGGTCAATAAAATAAACTCAAAAGAAAGAGAAGGAAACAAAATTTAACATAAGTGGTTAATGAAATATAAGTACAAATGTACAACAGAAGGATCCACAGGGAAATTATTAGTTCTCTGAAAAGATTAAGAAATCATAAATCCTTGCCAAGATTCAATGAGGAATGATGCATTAAGAAGTTATCATTATGAAAAAAAGAACATCATTACAGATCTTATAGACCACTGATGCTGAATCTTTTAGAGCTTTCAGTGATACAAACAACCAGCTGTGGCATGTGTGCTATAGCTTCACCACCATTATAGACAAGACAAAGATAACACAAGGATATTGAACAACTATATACCCTAAATTTGAAAACTCAGGTAAAATCCAAAATCCCAAATAACCAAAATGGATATAAAAAGACACAGGAAACCTGAATAGTATATCAACTGAATAAATAAACATATCATTTAAAACATTCCCACAAAAACTTCAGGTCTAGATGACCTCCCAACAAGCCTTAATATTTAAGAAAAAAATAATGTCAATTTTACATAAAATTTTCTAGATAGTACTTAATCCTTAATACAGTAAAGATTAAAATGCTGAGTACCTACCACAGTGTTTAATGGGCTAAAACAAGTAAAACAACAATAAAAAGCAAACATAACATTATCATTCTAAACACCTGGCTTAAAAATCCAGTCTAATAATGATAAAATTCTGAAGTATTTTATGTACAAAAATGTTGTCCACCCAAATCAGATTTTAAAGAGTTTACGGCATTTTTTTAGTTAGTAGTTAAGAATCAGTCACAGTAACTAATAGCAAACCTTTACAGAAACCTGATGAAAGTAAAACGGTAGCACCCAGGCACTGAAAGTTCCCTCTGTATTACCTCTCTGGAAGCTGGTCTGTACCCATAGCCAGATGGTAAATTTTTATCTTCTTCACAACCTTTGGCTCCTGGACTAAAATGTAACTCAACATGAAAGCGTTCTTCTGAGGAAAGATCCTAAAATATAGGAAGGAACATTTTTACAGTAACTACATGCAAGCTATTTATTTACCTCTGGTAGTACAGACAAATCCAGAACCTGGTTACCTTGTTAGGGTCTTCATACAGCATAATAACAATCTGAGTCATGTAGTTGAGTTCACTGACAACGTTTAGATAGTCCATAGCTCGTTTCCACTGTTCATCCTTGGACTCCTGAATAAAAGGTACATGGTGAGCATTTCCTCATACTGTATTACTTGAAAGTCACTTCACCATGGTCACAGCTTATTTAATCCTGAGCAATGTCACACACACAAAGTGTATACTAACGTGCACATCTGTTGCAAAATGGCTTTATTTAAAAGTCTCAATAAGTTTCTTAAGCCTATTTAAATAAATTATTTTAAGAGTCTTTTGCCAGTACTGCTGGAAACTCCAGTTGTAACCTTTTTCAAAATAGTTTATACAAAATAAAAATTGACAGTTCCTGGCAATACATTACCCATTACAGAATTCCAAGGGTAAGGAACAGTTTTTAATCTCCTAAAGTATTTGGTATGGCACAATACTTTATAATTCAGGACATTAGCCTCTCAGGGTAGTGCTTTTATCTCTACTATCATACAGTCTTTGTATGTGACGTAAACCTATCAGTAAAGATCCCGTATTTACGGCTGTGGTTTACACCTAAAACAGTCCCGACGGCGTCATGTGTTTGGAAGGTGACTGGATCACACAGGTGTTATGGCTGACTTCTTGTCAGAAAGCGGGCCCAGTTGGAGATAGGTCACCAGGCACATGACATGGAAGGCTTTCTCTCTCTCCAGCTCCTCCCTTCTCTCTCTGCTTTCCAGTCTCCAAGAGATGAGCAGCTTTCCTACACCAGACCCTTCCTGCCACAGGCTGAAAATATGAGACACAATCAATCTCTCCTCCGTTAAGTGCGGGTTTTGTCCCAGCAAGGAGAAAGTGACTAAGACACGATGCAGGATACTAAGAGTTTACCAGCAGGAGGCCTATATAAGTGCTGTTCTCTTACCATCCCTTTCCCCATTTACTGTCTGCATTTACAGAACAACGGTCTTTACACAAATAACCACAGTATCAGAACCTAACAGATCTTAGGTGTACTACCAAGCATAAAGAGCAGAAAACTCTACCCAAAAAGGTAAAACTACTCAAATTGCAGCCTACAGTTCATAGTTAACTGTCTATATAAACCATAAGTATATCACAGATAATTTTCAGTCAAATATTACAAATATGTAATAGCACTCAATTGTTTATATATAGTAAAAGTATGTATTTTGAATTTCAGTGTAGGATGTGCCTTGTTCTAAAAAATTACTATTGTAAAATCATATGCTGGTATGTACATGTCTTAAAATTTGGTATGTTCCCTTTATTCTCAGTCATTATATATTCCTAAACTATTCAACACTCTAGAGTAAAAAATGCATCTGTATGTGTATGTGTTGGTGAGGTATATGCGCAAAGATTTTTCCAAAACTGGTATTTTTCAAAACTGATAAAGGAAAACACATTAGTATAACATAACTGAATTTCACCAAATACAAATTATGGAAAATGATGACTTTAAATATTAAAAATTTTCATTCAGCAAACAGGTGAGTTAGATTTTTTGATACTATTAAATTAAGAAGATCATCTAATTTCTGCATCACAGTTGAAGATTTTGCTAGGTCTGTTTCAATAACTAGGTAAGATCAAGCAATATTGAGCAGTTTCTTCATTAACAAAATTAATAGGTAAGAAGCCACAAGTCTTTTTCTTTAAATTAAGGTTTCTTTAAAATAAGGTCACACATACATTCCTTGAAATCTGATGTACAATCTGATTTCCTGAATAAATTTTTTTTTCAAATTCTATTACAGAGAGAGAGAGATTATAGAGAGAGAGATTATATGTAGACCATTCTAAACAATCAAAAATTCCAGAAAACTGAGCAAGGTTTTAGGTGTACTGCTTACAAATTCTTAAAGTGTATTAAGAGTTCAGATAGTGGATAACACTGTAAATAAATTTTAAAAAATTAAATTAGAGAACGGCACATCATTTGAGTACAGACTTTAATGCTCATTTTAGTAAACAGATACCACTTTTTCCCAGGGAGCACACATTCTTTGAAAAATAGAATTATTTTTTGTTTTAGAAATAAAACCTACATTTGACATATGCCCAACAAGCTCTAGCTCCATCACCATTACCCTCGTCTAAACTTACCTTTTTGAGATCACTGTTGTAATAGTTTTCTACTTGGTTTCCCCCTACTCACTTTTGCCTACGTGTTGACCACCCAGCAAGTCACTCCCTGCCTGCTGCAAACCTTTCAACAGCTTCCCAGCTCCTTAGGCTACATATGGCACTATCTCTCTAACTTTCTCTGCTGCCACTTTATCCATCTCTCACTACTATGCTCCACCCACAGGCTCTTTTCTTCTCAGTTTCTATATTGCTTGTGTCACTTCTACCTTCCACGGTACCTTAGTTCAGGAGTTCCATTCTCTCCAGGATTCTGGTTGCAAACTGCAATGTATGCAATAAAGTCACCATTGAACTTAACCATCACATTTGCTTTGGTTCTTGGTCAACTCTGTTTGCAACAAGAATCATGGAAAGCATCAAGTTCATGAACTGCTGCATGTATGTGTAAGAGATTTATCTCTTTCCCCTTGAAACAACTCCATGAGTTCTACCGGATATATAAATTTTTCCTTTGCTAACTCAGGATCTTTTTCTTTATTCATTATTCTTTTATTAAAGCTTTACTAATCCACATGTGTATACAAGAAGGTCACTTTGCAATTCTTTAATGAGACAAAGAAGAAACCAAAACAAGAATGAATGTATGAATTCTAAATTTTGATAGGAATAGAACACCAAAATAGCCTTCAGGTAACTTTGATGATAATTATTCTTAAGGGCCAATAATAATAATAATAAAAAGACTAGGAAACAGGAAGCATGACAAGTCACTATTGCCCTTTATTTAAAAATTACAGAAAAAAATTGCTTTAAAAAAATCACTTTGGATACTGTTGGGGACCACTACAAAGTGGCTCTGAGCTGGATTTAATATTAACCAATTGGCTTTCCGTTGTCTGAAGTTTAGGCACCTTGTCTGCCACCTCAATTAACTTAAAGGAGACTGCAGCTGCAGGCATCTCACTCCTGCTGTGAAGGCCTTCCTGGAGATAACGTACTTCTCCTAAACATAATATATTACTTGAAAAAGTCCTGCCCAGATTCCCAACCTTTTCTTGAATATTCTCCTCCTTTGTTTGTAAACCAAATAAATATGCCACCCAGAGCAGTCTTTGGCTAAACTCCAAGAATACTGAAGTTATAAGAGAGTTAGTCCCTCCTGGTACCCTAAAATCATTACTACTGTCTGATTTATTTAAGCCTTCCCCGTACATTCACTTGGGAGATTGCAGGCTTGATCAGCCTGCAATAACTTAGGGTTATTTATCCCAGATTTTGATAGAATATAGATATACACAAATGTACACTCCAACGCAGACTGAAAAATAAAGGAAAATTCTTGCTTTTTTGTGAGCTTAGAGGTGGCTCATAGAGATGATGAGATCCTAGAATTCAGGTTCATGCTGTAACAAGCTATAGCTGGAGGGGGTGGGGGAGAAGTTAAGTGAATTTTGCATCTGAGAAGAATATAAATAATTACGGACAATGAGTAGACAAAGGGTGATTAAAAATATGGTGAATGTTTAAATTTGAAAAATAGTACAGTAAAGTCACATTATCATTAATTCTCCTCAAAATACTGCCCTTGCTTTGAACACATTCATCCCATTATTCTTGAAAATTCCTGACGCAGTTCTGGAAGTCTTCTTTCATGAGTGTTTATACGATATGATAAAATCTCCAGTGAATGCTGTTGCCCAGTGCCATCCAATAGAAAGGCAAGCTCGTAAAAACATCATGGTGTGTCCTCATCTACTTTATTCACCTGATGTAGCACAGTGTGACTTCTGGCCCTTCCCCAAAGTCAAAATGACCATGCAAAGTAAATCCTTTGAATCAGTTCATGGCACTGTTGAGGCAGCCGCAACAGTGCAACTAAGGATTCTCATGAAAAAGGACTTCCAGAACTGCTTCAGAAATGGCAATAGCGATGGGCTAAGTGTGTTAGAAGTGAGGATCATCTGAGAGGGATTAATGGCAATGCCTTTTACTGTAATATTTTTTTAAAAATTAAACACACACTGTATTTTTCTTTTCTTTCTTTTTTTTTTTTCCAGTACTGGGAATCGAACTCACGACCTTGCGCTTGCCAGGCAGGCGCTGTGCTGCTGAGCTAAATCCCCAGCCCCCTACACCATATTTTTCTTATTATGATGGATTATATTTTACAAAAATGGCTGTGAGACATAGCAAATCCTATATTTTCTTCTTACAATGTGACAGTGAGACTCCATGCATCTAGCAACGTGGGTTATTTCTTCTCCTGTTGAACCTGGATCAAATTCTGTGATTGCTTCAATCAAAACTGTTCCACTTAAGTGACACTGTATGATTTTAGAAGTTAGGCTGAAGAAATGAGACACACTTGTACCTTGCTATCCTAAGCAGGGAAGATAGCTTTCCTAGGAACTTGTTCTTGGAACTCAACTGCATTTTGAGAAAGCAGGTCACACAAAGGGGCCAGATGCTGTTAGTCTACTCAACAACCCCAACTGAGGTCCCAGGTGCTAAGCATCAAGCACTCAACACGTGAGGACACTTTTGAAGCGACTGAGTCCCGGCAACTGTCTGACTACAAGTGCATGAGACCCTAAGAAAACCGTCTAATTGATCCTAGTCAATCCTCTAAACTCTGGGAAATGGAAATAAAGTACCTGCGGTTGTTTGAGGCCACAAGTCTTGGTATGTCATTATGTGCCAGAAGGTAGGAGGTACAATGTCTAATCAAACACCAAGTCCTGGCAGTTTGGGCCCTTACTGCTAAATGCTGATCCCTCAAATTCATCTGCTTCTCTTTCTTCACACTACTAACTGTGTATAATACCACCTAAAATACTGATGTTATTGGTTAGTCACATGACCTTCTTTGAGGGAAAGAAAGTGTTGTTATTCTCAAAATCTAGAAAAGTGCTTGGTATATAATAAATCCTTGGAAAATGATGGTAAATCATAAAAAATGGCAATGAATTACTAAAGTTTCACAGTGATTTGATTACAAATTTAAAAAGCATTTATTAGCTAAACTGGAAAAGTTTGCTTTACTTACATCGCATAAGGCACCATAGCGAAGAATAGACAGTAAAGAATGTACATGACTTTCACTGGTAAAATATAATCTGGTACGGACATGACGTTCAGGAGACAGAACACCTCTGGAATACCTAAAGTTAGAAGTATATGGTATTAAAACATAACCATGTAATAAAATCTTCAGTATAGGAATTATTTTATAAAATAAAATTTAATCTTCCTAGAAGTAAAAGTCCCTAATAAATATATCTATCATTCTTCCAACCACAACTCTGTAATTGAGGAGTACCTTCCACAACTGAGGATATACTATATTTTGATAGATATTTTTCTAACATGAAGTTAACTGGAACTAATTAGGTAATCTGAGATTAGTCAAAGAGCAATAAACTTAGTATTACTCAAGTTAACTCTAAAGAGGTTATTTTAGCTTCTCCAATAGCAGTGATAGAGGTTATAGACCTAAAGATACTCACAAACATTTACGCAGCTGAATAGCGCACAGTGACGACCCCATGAAATGATGACACACATCCCCTCTTCCCCATTCACCTGTTTTTCTCCAAATTGATGCCAAAAACAGCCTTGGTTGGAAGTTAATTAATAGGAATATCTAGATAATCCTATTTCCACAAAATATCAAGTGATATGCTCCTGATTTCTATATAGAAACATCAAAAAACAATTTAGATTTGAAGTATGCAAAAACAGATGCCTATGGACTTAAACAACTAGTACAGGCTCTTACACAGGATGGAGTTTATTTACAGTGTCATCATCTTGTGTTCTCTGCAGGTCTGAGCGAATTTTTCTAACTAGAGGAGTACAGTAGCCTTTGGCAATCTCCAGTTTTTCAGCTTTAGTTATACCATATTCCTGAGCAGAAAATACATAGTATTAGAAAAAGGGTATAATAATGAAGCACTCTAACAAATGCATTCCTGAATTAAGGAATTCTGGTGAGATACAAATAACTGTATTACGACGTGTTTGCACATTAGACAACTCACAGTTTGCCTGTTTTATAACTGCAAATATATGTTATCAAATTACTGTATAAATATCATTGGAATAATTCTCTGGTAGAATTTAAAAAGCAAGTAACTTCCAAAGAAAGGAGACGAATGGATTAATGAGATCTCTTGTAACAGTATTTAACTTAGAGATTTAAAATGTTTAAAATAACCATAAAACATGGATTAAGGAAAGGATAACTAAGACACAGACAAAGGGAATAAGCATGAAAGGAAATATAAATTAAGACCATGAGATTTTTGGAGCCTGGGAATATGACTCAGTGGTAAAGTGCCAGACTGGCACACAGAAAGCCCGGGTCTGATTCCCAGCACCGCAAAAAAAGAAAGAAAAAGAAAAAAAGAAACCCAAACAGACTTTTGCCTGTCTCAATGTGAAGCACATTTTTTGTAAGCCTTTGGCTGATATTCTTAACATTTTAAGTGGTGCTGAGCGAAGATGCCTTGAAATTATCCAATTTATGTCTATAATCATTATAAATTAAATAAAATTATAATGAACTGATGTAACATGAAGTGGCAAAAGACTCAGGAATTATGAATTGCATTATGGTTCAAAATGGTAGATTACAAAATAATCAGATATTAGAAAAGAAAAATCTGTGGGATGTAAGAGTATGAGAAGAGAAAAAGGCAGAAAGAGGGGGAATAAGCAGAAAGAAAGGAGAATATGGAAGGAGGAAATGCAAATGCCCTCTCCCTCCAAACTCATTCTGGGATACCTTAATTTAAAAACTACTTCCTGCGAACAGACACCTCCAAAGAGAGTCAGATGGCAAAAAATCTGTACAGACAGAAAATCTCAAAACTGCCTAATAAAGAAACTGTGGTTGATTACAGATGGGGTACCCATGGAAAGTGAACCTCTTGGGAGCATTTACCTTAACTTTTATTCCTAAATTCAGTCAGTAATGTTGCCAATATACAGGATAGCGAGCCGGGTATATGAAGGGGATATGTATGTAATTGTGAATGTACAGTATATGGAAACAAAAGAAAACTGCTGAAATTAAAAAATCATTAGAGAAAAAAAATGTTATTTATTTTAGCAAGCCAAAAGGCAATAAGCATGTTCATATACTGCTGATCTGGGTAAAAAAAATAGTTAAAGAGCTCTAAAGCTACAGAAATATGGTTACGTGCCTGGAAAGACATATGTGAAGAGTGAGAGGAATTAAAAGAATCCAGGTTTCCCTGTACAGAAACTAGTTAAATAAACTTACACATAGCTTTACTGATATAGAAAGAAGTGCCTGGTGTTAAATGAAGAGAAAAAAAACAGGTTGTGAAACAGTAAGGTTTTTCCTGATTCCATTTTTACAAATAATTTGTTACATTTGTGAATTAATGAGAATAATTATATGTGCATGAATTTAAAGTATGAGGGCTTTGAAAATATTCCAAAACAGTGACATACTTTTGGTTGATAATGTTACAGGGAGATTTTTCCTAACATACACATTTTCCAGTTTTATAACAAAGATATAGTAGTTTTTAAGCAAAACACGTTCTTTGCTCATCTGTCACCATTCTTTGGAAGTGAATAATTTTTAGAAACCTATGTTCTCATATGTAGTTGCAATATTTCTGCCACAAATAGAACTGGTTAAGATACAAGATGAGGCTGTTTAAAGGCTTTCTGTGGTCATTTTCATGATGGTTTCTTTGGACTTTACATGGCAAATGTTATTATGAAGAATCCTCCGTATTTCATAATCTGCAGCTAATCAAAGAAATCATCTTCAAATTTTCATCACTCAACATAGATAAGAACTGATTCAACTTGAGAAGAAACTATCTTTTTAGAGGCATGATATATACCAGAATGTATATTTTTTTCTTACACAGTGACACTATTAGTTTGCATTTGTTTTCTCTAGACAAGTTAAAAATGTATATATTTGACTGGATAGTCAAATCTCAGTTTACTCATCTGTGAGAGGACATATGTAAAATTTTACTTCTTTCATTATAAATAATATTTTCCTGATAAATCAATACTATAAATGGTTATAATTTTAGTTTTTTTTCAGTGATTGAAAATACTTGCATTTTATTTAGTTTTTGGATTTATGAAGGCTAAAGCAATCAAGCAACTTATTATTTAACTGAACTAAATCCAACATTCTATTTTTTAAAAAAAGAGTTCAAAGTATCTTCCACAATAATACTATCAAACCAAAAAATTAGGGAGATAAGTTCAAGTTTTCCTCTCCTCAATTTAACTCCAATAAAACATACAAAAGTCTCTTGGCTTTAAAGTTATGGATTTACTCAAATAGGACTGTTTCCTAGAAGCTTGGTGAAAAATTTTTATTTTGAGAGAACCAAGATATCAAAAATAATTTATGCTTCAAAAAACCAATTTTAGAGGTATCAATAAATTCTATGATTACTGTGAAAAACTAAACTGATTTTGGCAGAGAATTACTGAAATGGACACAGAATAGCTGAGCCTGCAGAATAACTTTAAAGAACACAAATGATAGCTCAAATCTTAGATAACCATACTAATTTTTAGTGCTTCTTTTACTTACAATATTTTAACAATTCATTACGAATAATTAAACTACATGGACAAGGTGCATTTCTTCAACTATAAACAAATTTTTCATTCTCAATTCTAACATGCTCTTTATATTTAGTAGAAAAATTGAGAGGGATGAAATTAAACTATGTAATGACACAGGCATGATTATGCTGTTAGAAAAAGTATTTCTATATTTAGTCACTGAGTAGGTAATATATTAAGATGTACCAAAAGTCTACCTTGAAAAACACATATCGCCACCATAATTATTTTAAAAGGCTGTATATTTACAGCTAATTGTTATAAAGGATACTTTTAAATAATCTTCACTGTAAACATAAGTATGACACCTAAGACACTAAGCCTCCTACAAAGCGATTCTACGCAATGAAACAAATTACACTTTCAAAGTAAACTCAGAATTATCCATAATCACTCTTTCTGGAATCTTCAGTAGGAAAGTGTGAACAAATTTTCTACCTTGAGCTTTATAACAAAAACTGATGTTAATTGAGTAAATTTATTTATTTAGTTACAATCAAATCAGTGTTTGGTTGAGATCTATTTTTACCACACAGTTAAAACTGAATCCTGTAGAATTTTGTGTTCATTGTGTTGGTAATTTTTAAGTATCCTATATAATAAAAACAAAACCTTTAATTTTGCAAAATTAAAATTTTTAAAGAGAAAATTTGTCTTTTTCATCTCAAACAGTAAGAAGAATCATAACAGTAATTACAATGAAATTTGTGTGTGGTACTGGAATTGAACCCAGGGCCTTGTTCATGCAAGGCAAGCGCCTACCAATAAGCTACATTGCCAGCCCCTTATTTAAATTTTATTTTGAGACAAGGTCTCATTAAATTGTCCAGGCTGGGCTCTAACTGCAATCCTCCTGCCTCAGCTTCCTCAAAAGCTGGCAGTACAGGTATGAGCCACCATCCTCAGCTGTAACTCTAAAGCTAACAATACATTTTCAATTCTGAAAAGTAAAATGGCAAACAGGAAAAAAAAACTGTCAGAATGAGTCCTGTTTTCTAAATTCATGTTTCTCAAAGACATATTCTTAATTGACTGTTTTTTTTGGGCGGGGAGGTACCAGAAATCGAACTCAGGACCTTGTGCTTGCCAGGCAAGTGCTATGCTGCTGAGCTAAATCCCTAGCCAAGACATATTCTTGGTAACTAAGATATTTTTAGCCAGTCTTAAAAAGGATTCATGTTTATAAATCACTCCTTCATATTATATAAAATTATCCATCGTAAGATCACTTATGTGACCAAGTAAACATGTAGTGGCTCCTTCATGCCAAGGGAACATAACGTTAATATGGATGGTGACTATTAGAAAATGTACACTGGCATTATTTTAAAAAGACATTACAATCAAAATGTTAGGAAATCAGATGTGATTAGTGTAAGCAAAATACAAGGCTTATAATATAAAATAAGAATTACTTAATTGAAAAGTTTTCCAGTCATGTAAACCAACTGTAGACACCTTTAAAATATATACTTTTAAACTTTATAAGATAACTTTAAAATATATACTTTTAAAACTGTAAGAAAATTGATGTTTAAGAATTAGTTACCTGAGGGATAACAATATCTGCTAATGCCTTCGAAAGCCTATATAATTCCATTGTATCTTCTAATTTTAAAGAACCATTATGCTGGACATCATATTTTATACAGTCATATATGTCAGGAATCTTACTAATATCATATCTTCCATTCTTTGTTTTAAAGTCTTTCTCCAACTTGGACCATCTACGTAGCATAAGCTCCAAAGTTTCGCTATGGTAAAGCTGAATATCTAAAACAACATAACATTTTTAGTACATTCAACTTAAAAATCGTATTAAGAATATACATTACAATCAGAATATCAGAAACTTTTAAAGTTATAGTGGTAAAACTATAAAAAGCTAGAAAATATTGCTATAGGCTTATTAGCAACCAAGTATGTTTTAGTCTTAAATAAAACTTGATATTAAAACTTGCATTGAAAATTGGACTTGCAAAAGACCTTTTCCATGCTATGGACTTTACTGTTCTTTTTAAACTACATTCCTATAACTAACAGAAGAGGTAGATTACCTTTAACAGAAAAGAATCTTAGAAATTAAAAACTCTTCAAATAACATGTGTGTACCAGTAAAAAATCTAGGATGTCAAAGTTGCCCAGGCTGTTAGCCAAGCTGACCTCAGAGCCAAAACCCTTAAGGTTGTTTGCTCCTCCTTTTTACGCTTACCTATGCATTGAGTAACTCTCTGACAATGCTAAGTAACTAAGCAAATGAGAATTTCTACTGCGTTTTTATTAATATTCTGTTCTCTGGAGTTTGTCGCCAGTGAGTTATTGTGTCCCGTGGAAGCATTATATTACCTTGCTATTTCATACTTGTATCGCCACGTTGATATTTGCACATATGGTGCATCTCTTGTGTTCCTCAGTTTTATCCCATGATTTTTGTAGTAAAAGACTTTCTCCTGCTTTGTTTATTCTAGTTTGTTGTTAATATTCTCCACTGTATTTTTTAATCTCACATTTTGAATTCTTCAGCTCCAAGATTTCTGTTTACCCTTTTAAAACTATTTCTTTGCTGAATTTCTCATTCTTATTATGAGTTGTTTTCCTAATTTCACTAAATTATCTGTATTCTCTTGTATCTTTTAGTTTCCTTAGAATAATCATTTTGAGCTCTTTTTCAGGCATTTTATTAATCTTCTATTCTCTGGAGTTTGTTGCCAGTGAGTTATTGTGTCCCGTGGAAGCATTATATTACCTTGCTATTTCATACTTGTATCCCCATTTTTTACCTGATGATTTTGGATCTTCCATTCGATGTCTGATTTGAGAAGTCAAACTTTGAATCAAAGAATAAACTTTGTCACAGGTCTTCACAGGATTCTTAATTAAATGCATTGATTTGATAAGAGAAATGCTTCCAGATGGAGTAAGCTGCAAAAGAATAAAGTATGCGTTTTATAACTGGTTATGCCTAGAAAAATTTGTTTATAGTTGAAGAAATGCACCTTGTCCATGTAGTTTAATTATTCGTAATGAATTGTTAAAATATTGTAAGTAAAAGAAGCACTAAAGATTAGTATGGTTATCTAAGATTTGAGCTATCATTTGTGTTCTTTAGAGTTATTCTGCAGGCTCAGCTATTCTGTGTCCATTTCAGTAATTCTCTGCCAAAATCAGTTTAGTTTTTCACAGTAATCATAGAATTTATTCTATGGGGGTGGGGGTGTGGGGGGGAGAAAGATAAGACCCCATTTGTATAAGCAACAAAAACAAAAATAAACAGACGGGATTACAACTCAGCTTCAGTAGAAAGTATAGTAGGTACAGCCAAGGTCAAAGAAGGTAAAGAAGATTCATCATCCACTGAGTTTATAGAAAATCGAAAAGCAACTCCAGAAAGGTGTCTTCAAAGAACAGTAAAACACTCAACTTTACTATAGTACCCTGATGGCAGTTCTTAGAAAGTTCAGAGCTTCCAAGAGCAGTTAATACCCAGGATTTGAGTGGAGCAGAAATACTGAAGATGGTAAACAAGGTTGCCAAAATTGTCCACAAAATGAGATTCCAAGTGAATTAATCAGATACAGTTTGAAGAAAAGCAATAACAGTGTGAGGATTTTGACCAGTGACTTGGGAAACTTCATGTCAGTGTTGAAGCCTCAGTATGTCACAAAAAAGAACTTCCACCCTTTACTAAAAGTATGATGCCCTGTTAAGCAATTCTGAGGCTCACACTCTAGAGATTTGTCTCGGCTTCCAGAAGGAGGAGGAGATAATAGACAATGTACATCAAGAACAAACTTTTGCTGAGTTCTATACGTTTTGAGCACTACGCAGTGACTACATTCCTTTAATTGGTGCAGTAAAAGGTGAGTTTGACCATCAAATGAAGGTCTGGCAGCAACAGGAAGATGTTCTAAAAGTACTTTGCTGAAAAAACATGAAACTGAGGCAAAAATGATGATTGCTAATAAATCAGATCAAATACAGAAAGCTAAAAATGAAATAAGAGAGAAGGAAATAGAAGTACCACAAGGAGAAAGACATTGAATAGATCTCTAAATTCAAAAAGTGGTGGCAAGATTTGAAAAAGAGGAATATGGTCATGATATAGTGACTATAATTAGCAGAATTTCATTTTATTCTTGAAAATCCTTCAGAGAGTAGTTCTGAAGTGTTCTTACCACAAAAAAATTATTCGAGGCAGTGAATATATTAACTAGCTCTTTTTTGCCATTCCACTATACATAAATATTAAAAACATCACGTTGTATAGAATATGCCCAATTATTGTCAAAATAAATAAACTGCCACATAAGTTGCCATAAATCAGACTACACTGGTTACCTATACATACTACTCCAAATAACTACAATATTCTAGATATGGTAAGGCTGTAAAAAAGAATAACAGAAAAAGGATTGTAGTTATTTCTAGGAGACAGAATGGGTTGCCTATGAGAAGGGAGGGAGAGACAGGGGCCAGAGTTGTTCCATATTCTGCCTCTACCTGGTGATTCTAAAAGTATTTCCTTAAAATATAACAAGCACAACAATTATGTGTTATGCATTTTTCTGCATGAAATATTTCACAATGCAAAACAGTGTGCTACAACCCACCTTCTCATAATCTTCAGCAGTAAAATCTCTGTCCTTCTGAAGTATTTCATGAAGTCTTGCTTTCACACGCTGTTGACAACTGCTCAAAGAGTCACTGTCACTATCCAAAAGACCATTCATATTTGCGCTTTTCACCATCTGAACAAGAATGGGCGTAAGCTCTCCTTCCAGAGCCAAGAGCCCCTAAACACAGTAAACAAAGCCAACAATTTAAAAATTAATATGCAAAGTAGTAAAGGATTTTGTTATATGCTAAATTTCATAATACATAATCTAGAGTTTATCACAGCTGGTTAATGGCTTAGAAGTTCTAACACTGGCATTTTTACATACAGATTCAGTAAAACTCTCTTAAACTGCCATGTTACATAAAAATTCTAGTAATTTAAGAAACCACTTATTGATACCTTTGCAAAAGCAGCGGCAGTCATCTGGACTCGCCCTTCATCAGAGGCATATATTTTGAGGTCATGTCGGTAGGTGCTATGTAATCGAAGTAAACCACAACCAGGAAATCCTGCATAATCTCCTGAAAATAAATCCTCAAATCACTTAAGCCATATTTTTATTTCACTGTATTTCTTTAAATATTTACTAGCATCCCAAGATTTGAAAATAAAATGTATAAATTTAACCAAATTCAAGAAATTCCAAGATTTACCTTGACCTCCGGGATACATACACCTGAAAGCTCTTCCAAGCTCTTCCGCCTGCACCCTGCCGGCAGGGGTGAGTTCTCCTCCCCATTTTAGAACCAACAGTAAGGATGGCTCTTCTCTTCGGCTGTCTAAAATACACATAAGTAAACAAATGTTAAGTGTGTTTCTTTAAACAGACATGCCTCAACCTTAATTTTTTTGTCTGTGCTCTCTTCTGCAGTGGAATCTCAAATGTAAATTATTTTATTCCCTAAATGTGCCTATCTTTGCATGTTGTTGTTTTCATCAGGAATAAGGTCTATTTAGGAAAATCTTACTGAAATTCAGCATTCCTTTCATGCTTAGGCCAATTCACTCAATTGTCAGCAGAAGCACTGCATCTCCTTTCTCTACTTTTTTTTTGTCTTTTTGAGACAGGGTCTCGCTATGCAGTTCAGGTTGGCCTTGAGCTCACTTTGTAGCCCAGGCTGGTCTCGAATTCGCAGCGATCCTCCTGCCTCAGTCTCTCGAGTTCTGGGGTTACAGGCATGCGCCACCACGCTTGGCTTCGCCACTCTTAAAGTGAATAATTCACCCACTGTATTTAACTTAGTTATGCTACATCTGCAAGTCCATGAACTCCTTGACACCAGGGTCCAGAACCAATCTGTGTTTACATCCAGTGCTTTTTACAGTACTGTCACATAAAAGAAAATACATTAGTTGTAGTGAATGTTTTGTGATTGGGAATCAGTGATTTGCATGATTTTTAGGAAGAAACATAAGATGACAGCCTAACATCTATCTTAGTCCAAATATCAGCAAACAATGAAACGTAGTCAAGAGCAGCTTTTGAACTGTGCAATCTTTATAACTTCCAGATTAAATTATTTTCTCATATATGAGGGAGATACCATTAAGTGAATGGGTTTCTGGACTTAATTTTGACCAGCCCTTTATAATGGCCTTAAGATCTGTCTGTGCTGAAGTTTAGAAACAATGGCAATTTAAAAATAATTTATAAACATTAGAAGAATTAATAATGACTCGTTAAAAGGAATAGAAAATCACATTTTCTCTGGGGACTTGTTAGCAGTTTATGCTTGATCATGCATGTTGATATGGAACTGAGAATACACATAACTTACATTGTGATTATATTTGTTTACAAGAAGTTTTTCATTATAAACACATTGAAATAGAAAATTAATCTGTGTTGCTTGTAATTACAAAGTGTGATAAGTGACAAAGTGTGACTTTTAGGTCAAATGTTAAAGCAAATGCATGAACATTAACAAATTCAAACATGTATTTGCATTTAAGATAGTCACTACTTCAATTTTTGCTACAATAAATAATGTCACTGTCAATATTCCTACAGACTGATCTTTCTCTGAACATCTGATTATTTCATTGGGATCAACTGTCACATTTATCTAGATTTAAGGTCAAAGCAGCACAATATTTTTTGAAGTTTTTGATCCACATTGCCAAATCACTGTTTAAAAAGTTGTATCACTTTACACTTCTATCAGCAGACTAACATCCTGTCACAGTGTATCTACATCACTATTTTTTATTACCATTTTAAAGAAAAGAAGAAAAAGCTCTTTGTCAGCGTGACAGACCAGAAAGATCATTCAGGTTGAGCAGCCCTAATCTGAAATTCCACAATCTAAATGCCCCACAGTCTAATGCCTTTTGATCCCTGACATGATGCAACAAGTGGAAAATTCCGCACCATGGAACTTGGTCTCACACACAAAATTACTGAAAATATTATATTAAGTCTTCATACTACACATAAGGTACACATACATATATGTGGGCATGGACACATATGTATATGAATAAATGAGTTTTGTATTTAGAAATGGGTCTTATCCCTAAGCTATCACACAGGAAGATATTTCAAAATCTAAAGAACTCTAAAATTTGAAACACTTCAGATCTCAAGTGTTTCAGATAAGGGATATTTGACCTGTATTTTTAGTATCATTATAACTGTATTTGCCATCTGTACTTCTCCATAAAATGACTGCTTCAATTCTGCATTTTTCTTTTAAAAAGTAAATGAATCTGTAGAATGGCTCGCAGGATACCTACCAACCTTATTTAATACCAACATTATTTAAATGTTCATTTAGGTTTATACCAACATTATTTAAATGTTCATTTAGGTTTACTGGGTGGAAGAAAATACCAATTCATTTCAGATGTACATTGTGTCCACTTAAAATTTTTCTTTCCAAACTTTTTGAACTTTGTCCCTATACATTCTACCCTCTTCTATTAAAAGAGGAAACCCTATTATACAACAGTTATAAATAAATAAGCTTTCTGAAAAAAAATCACAGAGTAAAAGTGAAATCCCAAGTAGTTGTCAAAATCACAAATTTATTCCTTAAAAGTTAAAGACTAATACCTGTCCTTTACTTATTTAAAGGATAGTGGCACAATTACCACAATTCCATTTTATTCATTTTTTATTCAGCATGCCAGCCCCTGAATTACTAATTAGAAGATGGTCCAAAAATAGCCAACATGGTATAGAAAGTCACTACATATATGTAACACACAATAAGCATTAAGGGTAACATACCTTCCTCTTCACTAGAGGTCTTAGGACACCCATGTGGGAGGTAAGTCAATTGGACCTTACGATTTATTCCAGAAAAATGGCCATACCTGAAAAATAAAATGGCAAACAAAATGGACAATATTAATTGTTGCTCTATGTGGAAAAAACTGATTCTCACACATTAACACCCTTTTCCATTTGTAACTACCTTACTAATTCTTTAAAACATCATGCAGAAAGTCTGTATCAAGGACAGCCATTCTAACCCACTGTAAAGTAACAAAGACAAATTTTTTCTACAAGGTAGGCAATTCTGGAGAGATGAAAAGGTATAGAAATATGTAAAAATATAAATAAAGGTACTTTGTATAATTAAAGAGATAAGACTATAAGGAAACTGATCAAATTAAACAAAATTAAAATGGGAAATTAGGCTTCCAGGGTAAGACAGGAGAATAGAAGTAACCTCATGTGAAGCTGAGAGTAGGAATGAAGCAGAAGAAATAAAATAAGTAGAAAGGACCAAAGAAAATTGTAATTTTAAATGTGCTTTTAAGGAAATAGCAACTCAGACTACAGTACAAGTTACGCTTTTCTCTGCTCTATGCCTATTTATGCTTCCTAGGCTTGTTTTATTCTTCCAGGCTCGTTAAACCCCAAATCCTTTAAAATAATGTAAATCCGTAAATTAGCTTAGTTGAGGAAGTACAAGGCAGAGCTGTGACTGTAGGATAAAGAAACAGATTCAAAGGGCTCAAAGAACATTTTTGGGCAAACATCTTAAGACTACTCCCCTAAAGGATATCTGAAAAACCACACATATCTCCCGCACCCCAGATAGTATGCCTCTTTCTTGAAGTCACACAATCTATTACCTCTGAGCAGGTATCTCTTTAATTCTGCCTAATAATATCACTTACATCTCTCACTGGTGTATTCTGAATTTTCTTTCTGTGATAAGAATCAAGAACCTACTCAGTGGATGAGTTGAGATTCCCACCTCCTCTTTATTTTTATATTTATTTATTTATTTTTGGTGCTGGGAATTGAACTCAGGACCTTGCACTTGCCAGGCAGGCACTGTGCCACTGAGCTATATCCCCATCCCCCCACCCCCTCTTTGGGGGAATTCCTTGGACCCCCCTCAGTGATCAGAAGAGTCAAGAGTTAGAAAAGAGAAATTATATTTTGAGGAAAGAGAAAGTGCTCCAGAAATCCAGAAGCAGGTGGCAGGACAGCTAAAAAACACTAAGTGAAAGGCCACAGGGAGAAAAGTACAAAACTGTGGGGCAGGGGTGGGGCGCCCGGAATTGACTTCTCACATACAAGGCAAACCTACATGCAAATCCACAGGTGTAAATCCACAAGACAGTGTGCACATGGGGAGGGTGCAGGGGTCGTCTGAGAAGTCCACGCAATGGGAGCTCTGTGGTAAGGACCCAGGCACCTCACAGGCAGTTTCCTAAGTGGGCTAGATCTGAAGTGGCCAGCAGTCAGCCCACCCAGGAGATTCCTCGGTCCCCTTTGTTGCCCCACTCCAGCACAGAATTCAGCACTCTGTGTGCATCACCCACCCAGCAACATTTTCATGGTCTTGTCTCTGCTAAGACATGTGCCACCTCCCTCATGCAGACTGAGAGGCCTCTGGAGCAATGAGGCCCTCACCAGCCCACTCACTACACAACTAGTCTGAGGACAGCAGATGTCCTGGTGCACAGATGGAAACGTACACACATGACACACTTCCGGAGTGACTAAGGCTCTGAGGGAGACGACATAGCCTGACTGGGTCCACAGAGTGGGAAAGCTGGGCAAGACTCAGCATTCACAGAGGGCCAGCCAGTGAAGTGCATGTGGCGAAGATACATAAGAGGCCTTAGGTGTGACTCAAACCCCAACCCCAAAACTGATGAATTTCAGTGCAAATCTTGGAAAGAAAACACTTGCTTCTACTGTTCCAAACACACCAGTGTGGACAGCTTTTGAATTCATTTTTCTTTTTCTTTCACTGATTTTTCCCACTTTTTAAAACTTTCTTCTCTATTTTTCTTTTCTCTGATTTCTTTTTTATTTTTCTTGTTTGCTTATTATTTTTTCCTATTACTTATATTTAATCGTATTTACTTTTTCATGTTTTAGTTGGATTTTTTATCTCTCATTTTTTTCTCCTCTTCTTTCTCATCTTATTTTTCAAATTGGTTTCTCTTTTATATTTCCCTTTCCTTACCACTCCATTTTTATTATTACTTTATTTTTATTCCTTATAATGGCTGTTAATTTTTACCTTTTCAGTTGCCTATAAACTAGTATTGCCACTTTCATTTCTATTGCTAATGGTGGTATAGCTGTAGCTTTAAATGGTTTTTAGTGTATTTTAATCTCTGGTTTAATCTTGTGCTGTTGCTAAGCCAATATATCTTGTCTGAATGGTACTGGGGATTGGACCCTCAAAAGAAGGCTGGTCACTGAGAAGCCCCTTACATAAGAGCAGAAGACATATCTACCCTAAAAGATACATAAACCCCAATGCAGAAGCACAAGGAGTATGAAGAACCAAGGACACATGAGTCCTCCAAAGATCTGTAACTGGTCAGTAACTGAATGCAAAGATATCAAAGTGGATGAAATAGACAAAGAATTCAAAAGTCCGATTTTTAAAATGATCCATGATTTCAAAGAAGATACAAACAAACACCAGAATAAAGTGAGGAAGAAAATGCAGGATATGAAGGAAAAAGTCTACAAAGAGATTCTGAAGAAGAAGCAAACAAGTATTTTGAAAAAGAAACCTCAAGAAGTCAAATGAAAAGCTCAACGAAAAGACTGGATCAAAAAGAAAACAGCTGGGGGCTAGGGGTTTAGCTCAGCAGCACAGAGCCTGCCTGGCAAGCGCAAAGTCCTGAGTTCGATTCCCGGTACCGGAAAAAGCCAAAAAAAAAAAAAGAAAAGAAAAAGAAAACAGGTGGGCCAGTGCCTGCCTGGTAAGCTCAAGGTCCTAAGTTTGTTCCAGGTATCAAAAAAAAAACAAAAAAAAAAAAACAGAAGAAGAAGAAGGAGGAGGATGCGGAGGAAGAAGAAGAAGAGAAGAAAACAGCATTTCATGGCTTGAACATATGGTTGATTCATTATCATACTTAAATAACAATAAAGAAAAATATAAGAAATCAAAAAGTTAAAGAACTATGGGACACAATGAAAAGATCAATCCTAGGAAGTTTGGTATAGAAGAGGGCGCCAAGGTACACACTCAAGGGAAAGACAATCAATTCAGAGAACTAACAGCAGAAAACTTCTTATTGTTATTTTTTAAATTCTCCTTAAAATAAAAAAAGAAAAAGACAATTTGAAATCCCCCCTAAAAAAACCCCAATTAAAAAAACAAAAGAAAATTTCTTAAATGTTGGGAAAGACATGTATACCCAGGCACAGGTGGCATGACCAGAATACATACCCCTACAATATATTACAGTTAAAATGCCAGGAGTATAAAACAAGGAGAGAAATATCAAGCCAGTTATAAAGGGAAACCCATCAAAATAACTGCAGATTTCTCTGCACAAACTCTAAAAACCAGGAAGATGTGGAATGATATATAATTAACCCAAAGAAAATAACTAGGTTGCTATATCCAAAAAGTTATTCTTCAGAATTGAAGGAGACATACTTCCCAAAATAAGCATATACTAAGGGAATATATGACAATTAATCCAACATTGAGAAAGACACAGAAATCCTACACAAAGAAAAAGTAAAGTAGATAAACAAATGGGAATTAGAAAATAATTCTGATGAAAACATCAGAAAAGCAACATTAAAAAATCAACAGCGACTCTACACATCAACTAGCTGAGAAAGATATGAACAAAACAATTTTATTCATAACTTCAAACAATAATAAACTAACAAATTAACCCAATCAAAGAGGTAAAAGAAACAAGGAAAACATACAAAACTGACGAAAGAAATTGAAGACACTAGAAATTGGAAACATTTCCTAGTATATGGATGGAAAGAATCAGTATTGTTAAAATTGCCATGCTGCTGACAGCAATCTACAGATTCCCCAATAACATTCATCACAGAACTAAAAAAAAAAAAAAACCCTAAAATTCATACAGAAACACAAAAGCAATCCTGAGCCAAAACCAATGCTAGAGCTACTGTGAAACCTGATTTCAAATTATAGTACAAAGCCATAATGACAAAATAACATGGTACTGGCAAAACAAGCAAACAAACCAGGCATGTACATCAGTGGAATAAAATAAAGGATACAGAAAGAAAGCCACACAACTACAATCATCTGATTCTTGACAAAGGGGCCAAAATATATACGATGGAAAAGACAGATTCTAACAAATGCTGCAGGGCATACTGGATATCCATACATAGAAAGTTTAAGCTACATTTTTATCTCTTACCCTGCCTAAAAAAATCAATCTAAAATGGGTCAAAGGTGCTTGCTATGGTGGCACATGTACTAAAATTGGAATGATATAGAGAAAAATATGGTCCTTATGGAAAGATGAAATGCAGATTCAGGATGTGTTCCATATTAAAAAAGAAAAAAAACAGAGACACTACAGGATGAAAGGCCAAGGTGTAAGACAGTGATGGCAACCCTTTTGGAGAACAAGGGCCCAAACTGCAGCCCCAAACCCACTTATCTATGGGCAAAGTGCCAACACTGCAATTAAACCCGAATGCTCAGCTGCTGGGGTGACAATGGGGTGACATGGCTCGCATGCCGACAGAGAGGGCTCCTCGTGCGTGCTGCAGCACAAGTTCGCCATAGGTTCCCCATCCTTGGTATAAGATGTGAAACTGAAACTGCTAGAAGAAAACAGGAAAATATCTGAAGTCAGAGCCACAGGCTACAACTTCCACAAGTCTACAAAAACAGGAGTTAATAATAAGAATCAAAAAGTGGGACTATATCAAATTTTAGAACTTCTTTGAAGCAAAGAAAAACAATCAAATTTTAGGATTGTCTTTTTCTAGTTCTGTGTTGTGCACTACTGGAATTTTGATTGGGATTGCATTAAATCTGTATAACAATTTTGGGAGTATGGCCATTTTCAGTATATTGGTTCTTCCTACCAAAGAACAAGGGATATCTTTCTATTTTCTTATATCCTCTTTGATCTCCTTTTTTAGCACACCATAGTTTTCAGTGTAAAGATCTTTTACATCCTTTGTTAGATTGATTCTGTCATATTTCATTTTCGTCTATGCTACTATGAAAGGTGTTCTTTCCATAAATTCTCTCTCAGTGAGTTTGTTGTTTATGTACAGGAATGCTACTGATTTTTGAGTGCTGACTTTGTATCCAGCAAGCTAACAGCACGGTTTTTATCATGCTGGCAAAAAAAAAAAAAAAAAACAGACCCGAGGATCAATGGAGCAGATTACAAGATGCAGAAACAAACCCAAAGACATCCCACCAACTTCTCTTCAACAAAGCGGCACTATACCCTCATTGGAAGAAAGACTCTTTAATACATGCTGCTGGAAAAAAGGCTTTCTACATGCCAAAGACAAAAATTAGACCCATGTCTGTCACCATGCACTAACCTAAAATGAAATGGATCAGAAGATAGAATAGGTAGAACTCTTGAAGACACAGGTGTAGACAAAGACTTTATGAACAAAACCCAGGCCACAAAGGAAATATTACAAAGAATCAATAATTGGGATTTCATCTTATTAAAAAGCTTTTGCACAGCAAAAGCAATCATTGACAGAGTGAAGAGCAGGAAAAAATTTTTGCCAGCTGTTCCTCAGAGCAAGCACTAATATCTAGAATATAAAAGAACTCAAGAAAATCAGACCTCCCAAATTTAAAGATCCAATCCAAAAATAGGTATCTGACATGAATAGATACCTCTCAAATGACGAAGTACAAATGGCAAATAAATATATGAAAAAATGTTCAACTTCACTGGTCGTTCAAGAGATTCAAATTAAAACAATGCTGAAAGTCCACCTCGCTCCATAAAGAATGGCTATCATTATCAAGAAACCAACCAATAATAAATGTTGACAGGGCTGTGGGGAAAAAGGAACCCTTCTCCATTCTTGGTAGTGTAGACTGGTACAATAACTGGAAATCAGTGCAGAGATTCCTACAAAAAGAAAAAAATACCCTAGAACCACATGTTCCATCTGACCCAGCTATTCCCCTTCTGGGTATCTTCCTGAAAGATTTAAAAACTTCACACCATAGCGATATATGCACACCCACGTCTATAGCAGCACAGTTTGTGACAGCTAAATCTTGGAAACAACCCAAATACCCATCAACCAATAAAGAAGATGTAGTTTTTTAATACAATGGCATACTACTCAACATAAAGAAGGATAAACTTCAGATATTCCCAGGTAAATGGATGGACCTTGACACCACATTTTTAAGTGAAATAAACTTAACACGTGTAAATATTGCATTGATTCTCTGGTGTAAACACTTCTTACCAAAAGTGTAAACAAGGACCAGAATGTACACTTGATATTATGAAATAGAAAGAAAATGCTCAATTGGAAAGGGGGAACTAAAGAGGAGGGAGGGGAAAATGAAGGAAGGGAAAAAAGAGAGAGGAAAGAAGGAAAAATAAAAAGTTTTTTGTAAATAAGGAGGGGAAGAGAAAATCAGGGGAGGAAAAGGGAATGGGGGAAAAAAAGAAATTGAGGCAAGTCATGTACAGGTACAATGTTCCTAAGATGAAAGTGATCATTATATATATTTAAAATGTACCAATAAACTTAATCAATAATAAATCAAAAAAGAAAACCAATCAGCATAGTAAAGACAAAATGGGAGAAATTATCAGCTACTTGTCCAACAGAGGATTAATACTTTAAATGTATAGAAACCTGAAAATACTTAAGACCAATAAATAAATATATAAATAAATAAATGGGCAAATGAACTGAACAGATGGTTTTCAAGGTACAAATGGCCAATAAACACATGAAAAAATGTTTAACATATGTGATCATTACAGAAATACAAATCAAAATGACAGTGACATTCCATCTCACCCTAATCAGAATGGCTATTGTCAAAAAAAAAAAAAAAAGATAAATGCTAGTGAGGATACAGGGAAAAAGAAACTCTTCCATAATGGTAATAGAAATATAATTAGTACAACCACCAGGGATATCAGTACACAGATTCCTCAAAAAACTAAAAATAGAACTACCATAAGGTCCAGCTACACTACTCCTTGGTGTATACCCAAAGGAGTTAAAGTGAACAAACTAGAGGGATACCTTCATATCCATGTTGACCGTAGCACAATGCATAATACCCCACATATGTAGCCATCCTATGTACATCAGTGAAAGAAAGGATAAAGAAAAAATATATATATAGGAGCATTTTTCAGCCAAAAAGAAAGTATATCAAAAAAAAAAAACAAAAAAAAGAAAGTATGTCATTTCCAAGAAAATGGAACTATATGTCATCACAGTGAGTGAAATAAGCCATACTCACTAAGACAATTTTGGATGTTTTCTCTAATAAGTGGAATCTAAAAAATACAAAAAATAAAGAGAACATGAAAATTGAAGGCAGACTATTATTAGACAAAAAGAAGGAAATAAGTGGGTGGGAGAGTGTTAAAGCAGAGAATAGGTGGGAAGGATGTGATTAAAATGGGCTGCATGTATTAAAATGGGCGGCATGTATATAGGAAAACACCCCACTGAAACCCAGTATTTTATAAAATTAATATGTATGAATAAAAATGTATTAAAGTAAATAAAGTGGAAAATCATACATAAAAAAGGGAGAAGTATCAAAATTAAGAGCTTCAAAAGTTACTCACATCTCTAATACAGTCTTAAGTTGTTCAAGTTTGGACTTGTTTTCCTCAATTTCAGAATCATTATTTTGCCCTAGTTCCATAAGAAGCTGTCGGGCAATATCAAGCACTTCCTATAAAAGATAGTTAATAAAGAACTGAATTTTTATGTCATTTCACCATTAAAAATTTTAACCCAACAAGAAACCAAATACACTTGCCTGTAACTGTTTTGGTTTTTTGAGTTTTAACTTTCCTGATTTATATCCATCACACTTTTCAAAAAGATCAAAAAATCTTATAAAAAAAAAATAGAGCACTATTAGTCACTTGCAATAATTAATATTCCTATCATATATTTAAACCAATAAAGTGAGAGACATGGCATAAGAACTGAAAACCTATGAATTTCACACATTGTTTTCTCTTTCACTATACTGTACCACCACGGCCCTCCTCTTCTTTCTTTCTTCCTGGAGATGGCGTCTTACTATATTGCCTAGGCTGGGCTGGAATTTCCTGACTCAAAGGATCCTCCTGCTTCAGTCTCCCTAGTATCTGCAACTATAGCTGCACTCCACTATTCCTTGCTTTTGGTCCTCTCCGTTTACCATAAAACTTACCACTTTCTTAAACTATATCAATCTAATAGTCACCATGTTACTTTTACAAAGTTCTCTCGTGATGAAAACTAAACATATAATGCTTTGTGGTACTGTGGTATATTCTCTGAAGTGCATGTATACAAATTAAGAAATACCTGTCAACACATATTTAATGACTAAGTTTTCAAGTTTTATCATCAAGCACTGACTAGAAATAGCTAGCTTTCTATTAATTTTCTTCTAGAGGGTTGAGAGGTTAATGATTCTCAGAATCCAATCAAGAAAATGATAGACCAAGATTAAACAGAGTATCTTTACAACAATAAGGGAAACCCAGGTAAGACTGGTATTTATGCATATGACAATAATTTCCAGATGCTCGCATATACAATTATTTGTAACAAATTTGCATTCAATGGTTTAAATATTAATGCCCAATATATAGCAAGTAAAAGTTTTCTATATATTAGTCAAAAGAACATAACATACATCAGAACTTAAATTTATATCATAAGTATTAAATTGTTCTTCTTGAAACATACTTTTGGTGCCTCACTTCCATTTTCATTTTTTGTTTTGGTGTTCTGTCCCCATGACGTATGACAGCTATGACACATCTAAGTTCCATCCTGAAATTAAAGAAAAAAATTGTTTTCAATCATCTAATAAGGATTTGTGCTATATAATTTAGATTAATATAACATTACGAGCCAGTTTTTCACCTTTTCAAGTTCTTCAAGCATTTATAATAAGCTAGTCTTGGGGGCTGGGGATTTAGCTCAGTGGCAAAAAGCGCCTGCCTGGCAAGCGCAAGGTCATGAGTTCGGTTCCTGGTACCGGAGAAAAAACAAAAAAAAAAAAAAAAAAAAAAACAAAATATAATAAGCTAGTCTTAATTTTAGCAAACCCTGAAAATAATTTAAGAGCTAGAGGAGGAGGTGTTAGTAAGATACATAATACTTGCTTGGGCAATCCATTCGGGACCCCTCCTGTCTCTCAGGACCAATTCCTAGTCCCTACTCCTAGTCCCCATTCCTTTTCTCCAATAAATTTTTCTACTCTTAAAAGAAAAAAAAATTCCTCATATCAAGAGATGCCGAAGTTCTCTCTGGGATAAAAGGACATGGACTCTGATCTCTGAATATCTGCCCTACAGCATTTGATAAGTATAGACTGAGATTTCCTTAAATCAAAACAAAATAAAGGTCTGCCTGATGGTGATCATATTCATACACTTGCTAGATTTTGCCTATTTAAGAACAAGTACTTAAAACTCAACTTACTGGAAGATAAAACTATTTTATAAGCATGCTAGAATTAAAAGCTATAACTGTTTGTTAAAGTGTGAGCTGCTGAACAGACTCCAGCAACACATTAATAAAAATTATCTGGAAAAAACTGTGTTGAAGTTTGAGAAATGCCAGCTTAAAAACAAAACTAAATGGTTCGTCCTCCCAATCTGACTTTTCCGAATATTTAACATGTTCATATAAACCCCTCATCTATGAATATGCAGCATTTAGTCAACTTTACCTAACTTTTCAATGAGTAATCTTCCTTAGTAAAATGTTGAGAAATACTTTGGCAAGATTGATTTAATATTTTACCTCAAGACAAAAGTGGAGAGTGTTGAAGTTGTATGACCACTATGGACCTTTAAGTAATGTACCTATTGGCACCTCTTCTTAAGTTATGGCTTGACTACATAGTTCTATAATTATTCAAGGATGCTCCAGGGTTTTATTTGTAAAAATATCAGAGACTTTTAGTCTGGAGGACCTTTGTAAAACCATATAATCTACTCTCTCATAGTCAGACTGAATTATATGAAAATAGAAATCATATAGTCCCTATGATAATTCAAAAATTTAGTTTTTCATGGAATACCACTAACTGACAGGAAAACTAAAGAATTTTTAAAAGAAAAGAATTCAAACTTACATAGTTCCAGATGTAGTTGGTACAATTGGAATATCTTCTGCTTCTAAGGGTATCGACCAGGGGATATGAAACTGTGGTGCGAGCTCACGCATTACAATGTTTCTTTAAGACAAAAATAATTAAATAAATAAAACAAAACCCTAAGAGTTAGTTCACTTAAAGATAAAATTGGGACAGAATAATAAAGAATCATAAGGCAAACTAATGAACACATAAAAACTAACCCAAAGAATCAATCCTGATCAAGAAAAAACAGTTCATTGCTTCTAAACTGGTATATCAGAACACTAAGGAAATGCCACGAATTTGAGATTTACTATGTGCTTTACTTTTAAAGTTAATATTGGTATTAAGTAAATCACTATAAACAGATCACTTCTAATTACACACATTCTAGACTCTTTTCTGTGTGGATACTGATGATTATTTTTTATATTATTCACTGAGCCTCTATAATGCCATTCTAAACATCATGCCTATTTTTAACAGATCAGTGCTATACTAATAAGTAGATCAATGAAAACATGCTTGAGTAACTCTATGGGTTTTTGGCACTGTTTGCTAGTGTTAAAATTTGGTGATCAACTCCCAATTTCATTTAAAGAATAAGTTCACAAATCTTTCAAACATGCTATAAAAGATGGCTCCCATTATTAAACGTTTTAAAGTATTAAATTTCCTGTGGTTTTGTCATATATACTTTGAAACTTAAAAAATAGTTTTTGCCTTGCTAGTGTTCTCAATCAAGGTATTAAGGAAACTGCAAATGCCAAAGTGCTATTTCTATATGCAATACATTTTTATATTCATTTGATAATTTTATGAGAATATCTTGAAATAATATACACACTGTTGTAGAAAGACTTGCAAAATGAAAATAAAAACTACTGAATTTCAAATATCTCTATTTTCTATGTTATTAATCTCATATATATTACATTTTGTATAAGTAAACAGGACAATAAAATCTTTCAACTATTTTTACATAGCAAACACTCTAGGAATGTTTTGATTAATCATTTCTAAATCTATGAAATTAAATTTATAATGATAATTATAATGAATTATAACTTATAATGAAATATATATAAATTTATATATAATGAAATTAAATTTATAATGATAAATCTAGCTATCTTTAATATCTTTAAATATAATTCAGGATTTGGCAGTCTTTGAGAATATCATTTTATGAACATTGAGTTTTAATCTAAAATGTTTTTAAAAACTTATTCATCTAATATTAATGATTATTTGGTATGTGAATAACTAATATGCAAGGTAAAGATAAGACAAATGAATAAATACTTACCCAAGTATTTTTGCACAGTCATCATAATACTTCATGGAATTTTTCACAAAACTGAAGCCATTGACATCACAGACATAGGACTGTCCATTGGCCCGTAATAAATCGAAGCCACAAACTGTTTGCTATTTAAAACAAGTTACAAATTTTACCATTTAATTTACTAAAATTGTTTTCCAATCTTATTAGAACATATATTCTATAAATGCCTAAAAGTATACTGTTATATGTTGCTTTACTTCATAATAAGAAATGAAATAAATTACTTATTTGTAACTACAATACTCTGAGGATATATTATGCATTCTGTACAATATTTAAGCGTCTGGTCAATTAATAGACATAGAATAATAATGCACAAAGGACTAGAAAAGCACAATAAGGACATATTATATCAAAAAAATCTTACACTAACACATTTTAAAAAGAAACAATTTTAATGGTTTTGATGAATAAATTTTACACTAGTAGAAATTAAGTCATCTTAATCCCTCTTGCCAAAAAGGAAAAATTCTAGAGGAAGAGTTCAATTATCCCTGTAAATCTTCTAAAAACTGGCAAATACATATGAGTGAGCACTGGAAATAAATTTATTCTATTTAAAAGAAGAAAACCACTGAAAGTTATAAATTTCCTGTTCAAGTTGCAAGAATTTTCTTTTGTTCTACATTTTATGTTGAAATCATCATGCATTAGTATAAGGTAATTTTAAGTCATAATTTTTGGAATCTTAGCATATCAAATAATTTATAAAAATCTACTAAAACTTATTTATGGCTTAACATTCCAAGTAAATAATACAACTGATTTTAAAAAATAGATTAAGAAATATCCTAAACACTTACTTAGCCGAATTATTCTGTGTGATTTAAATTTCAGAGTAAATGGCTCTAATTTCCTTCCATATAGTATAGGAAGATTATACTGGCACTACAATACAATATATTAGCACCACAGGAACCCCTCAAGAAACACATGAACGGTTCAGATGTACTAATTACGTTCTCAGCTTACTTCTCTAATTTTAAGTCCAAATAATGTTTCTTACTCAAAAAGTTAAGTTAGAATTCCTTTTACAAGAGCCAAATGGCTTATAGAACATCTTACCTTAAAAGCAAGGCAGACTTTCCAAGCAATTAATTTCTCTCGTGCGTTGAGAATAACAGGGTATCGTACTTCTTTTCCTTCACTGTCTCGTTCTACCTTGCCATCAAGGGCTGGAGACTTTCGAGCTTCAGCATGAGCATAATCTGGACCCACTGTGTAAACCTTCCATGAATGTTACATATCCAGTGCAAATACAAAAACAAGAACAATAAATTCCAAGAAAAAAGATCAATAAAAATAGTTCAGACTCAACTATTAGAAAGACCTATCTTTCTATTTTCAATGTATTAGAATATAATTACTTACTTATATATGGTCAAACAGGTAAAGTGAGGTTTCATTTTCTACAGAAAACTATTATACCAAATATTCCCCAAATTATTTGTATTTAACCAAAGAAAGACAGAAATAACTATAAAACATTACAGAAGGAAAAAACTGCCCCTAAAAGATTTAAAACATTTTCATTGCCCCTCCCAAACAGTGGGGGAATGAGTATGAATACAGAAAAGAGAAGAAAACACATTCTAAGCGGAGTTTATGAACACAGAGGAATGAAACCCATATTCTGGTAAGGGAAAGTTATTTAATATAGTTTATACCATAAAAATTGAGACTGATGAGACAGAGGACAGACTAAAATATCCTGTTTGCCAGGGTTATGAATCTACTTCTTATCCTATGGTGAGTGTGAATCCGTAAGTGAATTTTTAAGGACAGGTTTCCTTCATGGTGAAATGTAAACTTTAGAAAGAACACTCTGATTGGAGAAAAACAGACTAAAGGTAAAGCTATTAAGATCTCATTCGCTACTGAAATCATGGATATTTTTATACCACATTTTGCTTGTCACAGATCTCAAAATATCATTTATATTAATGACTTGGAAACTGGTGGCTATTAGTCTCTTAGAATCATATATATACATATATATATGTGAAACTTTTTGATATAAACTGAAACTTTTTGATATAATATATATATATATCAAAAAGTTTCAGTTTTAAATATTTTAATAACTACACCTCAGTAAAAACTGTCTCCTTCCTTGTGGATTTTTATCTATTTATTCATTTATTTATTTTCAAGATACTGAGGATTAAAACTAGTGTCTGCATTGGCCCACATCTCCATCCTTTTTAATGCGTTTTTTTGTTTGTTTGTTTGTTTGTTTGTTTTTTACTTTCAGACAGGGTTTCTAGCATTCTTTAAGTTCACCATGCTGGACTCGATTTTGCGATCCTCCTTCCCTACCCTCCCAGATGACAGGTGTGTCCCACCCTCAGCTACTTTCATCTGTGTTTCCCTTTAAGTATTCAAGAATACTATGTTTTAAAAGGTCTATAAGCTTCCACTTGCCAAAGGTGCTCATGAAATGAAACAGATTAAGAATTCCTAATCAGAAAGAAAGAGATCCAGAACAGAAGTTAGAAGTAGCTGCTGGATTCTCTTCTTCTGAGATTGATGATAAGCTCAAAATCCAAAATTAAAATCTACATAGTTTGACTTGAGGTTTTTTCCCACTTGATTTATAGTGGTACAAAGACAATACATATTCAGGAATCATACTCTGAATTTTGGTCTTCTCTCGGGCCAGTTACTCATGTGTGGTCTGACACACTCTCATAATGCATAGCAGCGCAGTAAGTTACAGCTTCCAGGCAGCCTCGTGACGCTGAGCATAATAATATTCTAAGGTACACCATGTTACTAATCTGTTTTTACCATGGTAAGTGTACTAAATGGTTTTTGAATTTATGGCATTTTCAACTTTTAAAAAATTTATCATCATGAGGTAACCCATATTTGTAAGTTAGGAGCATCTATACTTTAATCCATTCTACATTACCATCAGTGCCACTACATATAAAATATTAAAATATACTTTCAGTCCTACCTTAACATCAGTACCATCTGTGGGCATAAACTCTTCATATATATATGAACCTGTTTTTCGTACATTGCTTTCTGGGGAATACACACTACTTCTACTGCCAATCTGAAAATAAAAAATGTCCATCAAAATGAAAACCAAATTATTTTCCTCATTTTAATAATACAACTCTTATTTACCATCTATCTCCATCTTAGAAATTTTCCAATAATTGATTAGTTCACATTTAATAATGCTTATTACATATTTGGTACTATATTATTTTGTGCTGTCTCTGTGAATTATATAAAAGTTAAAAGGTATAAAAATACGATGAACACAAGGAATTGCTTGTAAGATTCAGCCATGTTGGGACATGCCCCTTTTTACCACTGCAACACTTTTTACCATGTAAATACAGAAGAATGCATTCATTTTCCTATCAATGTCTATTTAAGTTGTTTTCCAAGCCTTGGTTATTAAAGCAATGTTTCTTTAAACATTGTTTTAAGTGTCACCACACATATGTGCACAATTATGTTTCTGAGGAATTACTAGGTGGTTCATATTCAGCTTTCAAAAATATTGCCAAAATTTTTTAGAAATGATTATCAACAATTTAGTCTCATGTGTAAGAATGCCAGATAGTCTACCATCTTGTCTGTACTTGGCATTGTTAGGCTCTAATAGTTGTAACTAGTAAAAAGATATTAAAAGTAGACATTAAAAGGGTATCTCATTGTGTTTTTTAAATTTTATTTTATTAGTACATGTTTGCAATATATGAAGTTTACATTTATCTTAAGGAGCAAGTATATAATACATTTTTAATTTTTTTTATTCTTCTTCCCCTTCCTACCCACCATATCCATGATTATATAGATGTATTTTTAATTTTGATGCATTGCTAAATCATATTGCTAAGAGGCTGAATTCCTGCCAATAATTTTAGGGGATTACATTTATTTCCCAACTGCTTCAGTAGATATTCTGTCTTTGCCAATCCAAAAATAATTTATTTTTGCATTTCAGATTAAATTTGCGTTAAACATACATTCATGTAAGTAAAAGTAATTAGTATTGCTTTTTACTTTTTCTATGAACTCTATTTTTCTATGACTTTTTCAAGGACTGCTTATTATTAACTGAATTTCTAGTTTTACAGAAATACAAATGAAAAGTAAAATGAAAAATCATGTAATTTTCTTGTTATTCTGTAGGCAGGAATTTTGCTATCTAAAATTAAATAATCACTATGACACCTTGCTTTTCTACAACAGTATGACATCAATTTTATGAATTCACCTCTAAATAAAACATTTCAAAGAGTTCAATATTTAATCATAATTTTATTACATGCTTGATTACTTTGTATAAAATTTATATTTTTTAAATAAAATATGCAACAGTGAGGAACACTATACAAAATTATAAAGGTTCACCTTTCTAAAGAGTCTCTGACTTCCACCTCCAGCAGAGGTTGGATAATAAATGTAAACATTGTGGTCTTCTGCACTGACTGGCTTTTCTACAAATGGCTTCTGGAAGACTTCCCCATTCACTTCCACGTGATCTTCCCCTTCAATCAGATTACATTCTACAGATCAAACAGCAAGAAAAGTTACATACCAAATTAACTATCCAGATTACATTTTTCTGGAAAAAAACCAAACAAACAAACATACAATTTATTCTGCTTTCCAGAAAAACTATTTTTAAGCTTTCCTAGCAAAAGTGAATTTACCTTGTTTTAATAACATTCACAAGAAAACAGACAAACAAATCTTTTTTATACCAAGAATTCTCAACGCTGACTGCATGTTATAATCACCCACTTCCAAAGCTTTTGGAAAATTACTGATGCAGAATCTTGGGGGCTGCAAAGTTCAGCATAGGCATTTTTAAAACCTCCCATCTGATTCTGATTTGCATCTGGGGTTAAAATCTTTTTTTTTTCCAATCCTCCAAAGACTAATATCACAGTACAGTAATCATCATCAGCAGAACACTCTTCCTTGCAAATGCACATTAGCAATCAGTGCTTTTGAAATAGACGAAAGCACACTTCAGCACAGCAACTTCCTGTTCCATTTATATCTTGCACTTCCTGCCCCCCAGAGAGCGCACATGCTGTGTTTTAGATAAGTGGGGGAAAAGGAATAACAGGCGCTTTCATATATTAATACTGTGATTTCAAAACTTCCAGTTATCAGATATTTAATGTTGGTGTCCTAGCAGGTCATAGATGAGTCACTTGCTCTTTCCTCATCAGTGCAAATCTACCAGCCAGGCAAGGGGAAAATTCTCTTTTGTGATTCTTGAACATATGTCAAATGGAGACCCAAGAAAGGCAGGGCAAATAATCCTAAATTATCGGTTAACTTTTTATATCATAATATTGCATTTTAATTGAATATAATGCTTACTGGTTTAATCATTAAGAAAAATATTAAGTGAAATACTATGAATTCTTTAAATGTCTTCCACTCAATTGTTGCAGAGAAGTGGCTAAAAGTAAGTCAAGTGGGAAAAGGTAACTTGCTTAAAATCTCTTGCTTTTACCTTTGGGGTTATTTGGATCACGATTCAAAATTGCATAACGAGGAAGTAAAATACCTTCAGCTTGAAGAATACTATATACTTCTCTCCTAAGGAAAAAGAAAAAAATCCCTATTGTTTTAATACTCTATTTCACATCAGTGTATTCTTGTACTTTGTAAAATATATTACTGTTCTACTATTAATCTTCTATTACCTACTATTGATGTTATTGAGACTTTTTAAAAAAAACAAATATATCATTTCAAATACTGAAAATATTTCCTAAGAAAATGTTCAGCAATGCTAGCAGAAATCAAACAGTTTTTTGTAGCATGTTAAAATATTACTTTTTAAAACAAGAATGTAAATGCTAAAAAGAAATGGTTAAAGTTGATATAGCCCGCACACAGACTATATCCTGACTATTAAAATCCTTATGCTCAAATAATATTTAATGCCATGGAGAAATATACATAGAATGTTAAAAGAATGGTGTTTCTAATTTATAAAATATGACTTTATATATGTATTGCTTTCTACACAAAAATATGGTAGCTACAATTATGATGTAATTTTTCAAAGTTCTTAAGAGCATTGATTTATGTAAGTATATATATACTTGTATATAAACACGCACTTGTGTAAACCTAAGAAAACTGTTTTAAACGTTTAGATGGCAGTAATGCTACTGTCTTAGAGAACAGAAAACTATAGAATCTTCTACTTTATAAAATATTTTCACACATAATCTCATAATAGTTCCACAAAAAGTGCTGGTGAAATTGAAAGGATAGCTATCAGTGGAACGTCAATTTAATAAAATACATAAATATATTCAAATTTTATAATTTCCTTTAAAAATATATTTTTTGGCTTGTTTAATGAATGCTAAGATACATTACAAATATTTCTTAAATAAGTATACTTTGCCATTAAAAATATATAGTCACATGATAGAAAAATTAACCTTGCAGGGTCTATTAGACTTTGGAAATGAAACAAATAGTTTAAGTGCGTCTCTAGCTACCTGGAGAACTACTGATCACTTTGGGCACATTAGTTAACTTCCCTGATTGTTAAGTTTCCTTATCAGTAAAATTAGTTGATAAATATCAATTGCTGAGCATGACTTTAACAATGCAATCAGTTCATATCCGTGAAAATATCTGATGCCATGTCAGTGTATACAGTACTGTGTACTAAGTAAATGTTAATTTTCCTTCCCTTAATTTAGCCAACTTTACCACTCACCTATCTTGTATGAGATACTGCATATTCAAGTCATTGATTACAAATGGATTCCTGAGTTTTGCATAGGCAACTGCTTTGTCCAGTGGAAATCCTAAGAACACATATTATTAACATATTCTGTACGATCTCAAGATAAATTGACATCTATAACTTTAGTAACTTCAACTGATGCCATAGCTCATAAAGAATAATTTCATTATGCACATAATGCCTTCTATAAAATGTGTAATATATATACTCTGCTTTAATTTATACTATTAAATCTCATCTTTTCCTAATTAATGTCACTAATGAGGCTAATCAAGTCAGTGGTTATATAACCAAATTAGAGCACTGACATGATATTTGATGTATGACTATTCAAATCATTTGATAACTTTATATACAAAGAAAAATTTATATATAAATAGGAGTGCATCACAATCACCTAATGATCTTTTAAAATACACTGCATGTACTTTTTCATTTGATATTTTCATGTTTACACACATAAATGAGTTGACAAAGAACTTACATACCTTTCAATACAGCAAATATAAAAATTAACTCACATGCAACACATATGCTCAAAGTATAAAATAAACGAGTCCATTATTGCTGTTGCTAGGTCACTGTTAGACAACAAAATTAATTTCGTAAACTTTCTAGACTTTCAGAAAATGACTAGTTACAATGTAAGAAGAAGCATAAATATTTAAAGAACTGTTTGATTGATACTGGGGACTGAACTCAAGGCCTCTGCAAGGAGCGACATCCCAGTCTTTTTTTTTTTTTCATTTTTTATTTTGAAACAGGATCTCCCTAAGTCTCTAAACTGCCCACATGGGGCCTGAACTTGAAATCCTCCTAACTCATCCTTACAGAGTGCAGGGTTTACAGGACTCTACCATCACACCCTGCTAAGAACCTTAATGTTCATATTTAACTCTTGATATTAACAGTAAAAATCTCCAGTAGTATCCATCAAAATACCTTATTAAGAGAGGCAGTAGAGCCAGGCACGGTGGTGCATGCCTATAGTTCTACCACCCAGGATACTAAGGCAGGAAGTTTGCTTGAGCCTAGGAGTTTGAGATACCAGACTAGCATTCAAGAGTATAAATTAGTTCACAATCTGACTCCATCTTTCATTAGCTATGCATGTAACCTTGGACAAACTTATTTAACATCTCTCAGCTTCACTATGAATTAGCAACTATGGGTCCCAACTATAAATTAGCATATCAGGCTTACCTAGGAGGATTTTAAAGAACTTAAATAAAAATTATGAATAAGTGCTCAATAATGCTACCTGTTATTCCTTAAGTGACAATATTTTAATGAACATCTTTTCTATGGGAAAGCATAAAATTAGCAAGCATGTACAACTAGGAATTAACTAATGAATATTAAGTATATTAGTAAAGACACCATATTTTCGCAGCTTTAGAAAAAAATTAAAGAGAAAGCATTATCACATACTAAAATTTAAAACCAAAACACAAAAAGCTATGTTCAGTTATACAAGATTTATTCCTAAATTCCTTAGTTTTTAAAATTTAAGCAGATACTCTATGCTGAGAATCAGCCACAAATTACATATCCTTCAAAGTTCTATGAGGACTCTCAGAATTTCTTTTCTGCAAACATGTCTCACTGTCTCTGATTTTAAGCCTAACAGAATTTAGCAAACAGAAAACAGCTATAGTCAGTTCCCTGCTTTGATTGCTGTTAGAGAGGAACATTTCCCTTATCAAGAAATTGTACATGGGATGTGGCTTGGATATAGCAGCCAGCTTGTAGAGGCAAACAGTTTTTACAGAAAGAATCATGTGAGTGTAAGGGAAAATATATGGAAGTTTTAAAGTTATCTAAAATAAGGAGTGTCAGTCAGCAAAGATCAGAGCTTTGACTATTTAATAATGAAAATCAATTTATACTATAGGGGTACAAAGTCTCACACATGCCTCCTCCTCTTCCTGACTGAAGCGGGACTTTAACAGCTCAGAGTACAGATTTTAGTAATAAGGATGATTAAATATCACGTGAATAATTTACAATGGAAAATTATAGTTTCTAGTGGGAAATTCACTTAATTCACAGATTTTTAGGTTATAAGTTTTTAGATATACACTTAGCAGTAATTCTGATTAGTGGATTTTACAACTAAGTAATACTTAACTGATATTTTGATTAAGAAAGGCCAATAAGATCTAAAATTTTAAATATGAAGTTCTTAAAAAATGAGGTAGAAATACAGATATAATAATGATAAGATCATTTTCTATATGGCAAAAACATAGGGCTTAAAATATGCAATAATTCAAGAGAAACGCAAATGTGAATAAAGATATACATTCAAAGAGTTGATTACAACCTTAGTTTTAGTAATGAAAACTGAAAATTATCTAAATGTTCAGATATTAGTTAAACATGTTATGGTTCATTTACCCAATGATACACTAATCTACATTAAAAATGAGGTTATTGAAGGATGATAGAGGGATAAAAACTCTTCCTGATAAAACAGTGAAAAAAATTAAACGTATACTTACACATACACTATGACACTAAATTTAAAAAAAAAAAATACAGAAGAAAGCTGGAAAGAAATATATCAAAATATTAATATCACTTATCCATGACAGTGGGTTAGTTTAATTTTATTTTTGTATTATCCAATAATGTATAATTAAGTATGTAGTAATTTTTAATAAAAGCAATAAAAGAGATCCCCCTTCTTTAATACCTTTAGAATGGAAAGAAATAAGACAATCACATAAGGGCCAATTTTCCACTGGTTCATTCAGTATAACTTCCTCTTCAAACACTACTACTGTGATATATTTAAATAAGGAGATCCGTTCCAGAATCTCCTTCATTGGCTTGGATTTGGATTTCTTTGCCATGGAGCATATTCCAACTACAATCTGCCTTTCTGGAGGCTAAAACAGAAAGAAAATTTAAAAATCAGGTTAACTTAATATGAACTCCACAAGACAGCTGTCTTAACTTTATTGCAGAAGTAGACGAAACATGTGATAAATCAATAAAAGTGACACATTAACCAACAAAATCATTTCAAAAGTTTTTACCATAAAAATTATCATAAAAACTTTTAAACAAAATAAATTTTCTACAAAAGTGGAGACAAACCATAGAACACCAATTTCAGAACCTGGTTACAATTTTCAATGAAACCTAAGACTTAAACACTCTTTACTTAACTGCCACTGGCATTTGTATACCTTCCACAGACCAGAAAGGGGCCAATGAGGGCCAGAATGCAAGCGAAAAGGTTGATGGAAATGAGACAAAGAAATTTCTTGCCTAAAATAAGTTGTGGTTCCAACTACAAAACTATGAGGCATTTGGGTACAGTATTTTTGTCTACTATGCTACAAGAACAGTTGGTCACAAATGACAAATTCAGGGCCGGGGATATAGCTCAGTGGCGTAAGCACCTGCCTGACAAGCACAAGGTCCTGAGTTCAATGCCCAGTACCAAAATAAGAACAACAACAACAAAAAAAAAACCAAATTCAACAGAAATTTGAGAAAAAGCTACACTGCTAACAGAGATATCAAGATTCTTTGATACTCCACTCTTGAGTATTCCTCCTTACGGGCTCCAGTGTCATCAATCAATGCAAACTAAAAAGGCAGAATATAGAAACAGTAACAAACAGTACCTCCTGGATTTATAAAATTACTCAAGATTCATTGTGGGGTCTTGGCACTCAGGTACTTAGAGATTTATCAACTACATAAAGTAGTAGCCAGTTTGTCATTTCCTCTCTTTTACATAATTTTATATATTTCACATGACATTATAATCTAGGCTCGAAAGTGTATTAGACTTTAAGAATTTATCTAAGAAAAAAATTGGACAGCATTGGAATTAATTCGTTCTTCTTTATGCTTGGAACTATATTTCTACATTGCTCCTTCTAACTCATGAAATTTAGCCTTCAAATCAGTATTAGATTTGATTATAAACTGCAACCTTCCTGGGATCTGCTGCCTTTATTTCCTCTGCTCATCTGCTTTTACATTCTCTTATTTAATTTATTTCTGATCAGAAAGTCTTGGGTTAGCTTAATATAATATCCCTTAAGTCTCTTTCCCAGGACAAACGTACTCAACCTAATGTTTCACACTGCTACAATCTTTAAAAAATGAAGAAAAGAAAACTAATGTATTTTGTTGTTCTATTACAGACCTACATAACGATATCCATTTATGGCTAAGATGAACAGGAAACAGCATGAAATAAATACATGGAAATAAATATTTTGATGTTACTAAACCATAAAGGCTTGAACGGATGGGAGATACCTAGGGGTAGACTGAAAAGAGAAATAAAAGCCCTTATGTGTAAGAGGACTGGATGTGATGGACCAGTGGGATTGACACTGCTCAAAAGAACACTAGAGGGAAAGTGTAAGGCCAGGAGAGGCCGCATCAACTGTGCTCTCTGGTCTGAGTGAGACAGAGAAGCCCTGCTTTCTTTTCTGTTTTACTGACTGGGCTTCTACATACTTCAGACGAAGAAAAGTTTTGAATGGTAAGAGAAAAGCTTGAAAATCATTACCTGTTTAGAGGTATTGGGTGCTTAGCCCTGAAGCCTGCTGCACTGGAGTTTTTAAAATAATGACACTCCAATTTGCATTTCATATATATATATATTTCAAATGTAAACAATATTGGTTTTATGAAAAAGGGTTTATGGGGCTGGGGATTTAGCTCAGCGGCAAAAGCGCCTGCCTGGCAAGCGCAAGGTCGTGAGTTCGGTTCCCGGTACCGGAGAAAAACCAAAAAACAAAAACAACAAAGTGAAAAAGGGTTTAAAAGTTAATGAATAGCTATTTTTGGTTTGTTTTTTACTACTTTCACCAGTGTAATAGGTTTTTCTTTTAAAATAAGAATTTCATTCCAATTTCAAACAGAAGAATCATAAACAATTGTAAGTCTGCATTGTAAATCAGTCTTCAGAATAAAGCAATCTCTACTTGTAAAAAGAAAGTAATGAGTGAGAAAAATGTTGGACTGATGCAACTGTAGTAAAATGAACATAATAAACGGTTGTCATTCCTAAGGTCCAGTATGGGTGTAATATTCTAATATATCAGAAAAAAACATACAACATAATCTTACACACACACACACACACACACACACACACACAGATAACTTGAGATAGCCTCTCCTAGCCTCTCATTTTGTGGACTTCTGAACTGTTAATAGCAGTGTGCCCGGTTCAACCAGCACTTTCACTGACATTAAACTTAATGAATTTGTTTAAGTAGTCCCCCTTCTCCAATACCTTTTCTTTATCTTGACGTATTTGTTATGTATTTTATATACAAGAAAGCTTTCTGACAGCCCAAATTTGCTTCTCTTAGCCACTACTCTACCCAACCTTAAGTTACACTATGCATATCACTGAGAGAAACTAAAACAGGCATCATGAAACAACTTAGAAATCTCACCCAACTATATTTACAGTAGCATTTCTTGAGTTACCATCAATTCAATAATACAATTCGTAAAACAAAATATACTTCCTCAGTATAAAAAATTTGTAACAAATTTGTAAATGAAAAAGTATTAACTTAAAAGCTTAGTATTAATTTACATTAGAAGTGATCAGTAAATATCCTATACTGCCCTTGTTTCCCACCAAACAACTTACAGATTCATCCTCCTCCTCTTCCTCTTCATCTGCATGGTGGAAGAAATGCCGGTAACTTCCAGGATTTATTTCCGTATCTTCAGGTCCAACAAAGAATCTGGGGCCTTCACTCATTTTTATTTCATTTGGTATAGGTAAAATTAAAACCGCTTCTGCATAAGTTGTATCTGAAGAAAGGACTCTCCTCTGCTAGTTGGCATATGTGTCTGGTGTATTTTGTTTCTGCTTGTACAATCACTGGAAACTGTGATGATAGTTAGTTGGCAAAAGCTCCTTTGTTCTCCGATATCAGTGCTTCATTGTTGATATGTTTAAAATACAATGAGGCTATTGCTTCCCTGAGTTGACACAGCTATCTTTTTACCTAAAATGGAATAAAAAAATTAACTTGGAGAATGTATTTTAAAAATGTACATGAAAAAATAATTTTAAGTGACACATAAAATTAACACAAATAACTTTACAAACAGCATCAAAACAGAAATATATTTTCTTCACAAAATTAGGAAAAAAAACATTAAAATGCTTAGTTAAATGCATCATAGAAATTTGACAAGATACAAAATAAAAGAATCTATATTAACTTCTTCAAATTTGAAAGTATCTAACAAATTAAAAGATTATTCAAATTCTTTAAAATTACATTAATAGTTAAATCCTTCAGCACATATTTCAGAAGTATTTGAATGGAAAATGCAAGTTAAAATACTGTATAAGGTGGAGCCTAAACCACTCACAATTGGGCGTTATGTGAAATTATATTAACTCAGTTTGAAAACAGTTTTTGGCAGGTATGGTGAAGTACACTTGTAATCCAAGCATTCTAGGAGTCTGAGGCAGGAGAATCACAAGTTCAAGCCCAGCTTGGGTTAATCAGTGACTTAGACTCTGTTTTGGTACAAAAAATTTTAAAAGACACTAGGGATGTACCTCAGTGCAAGTACCCTGGGTTTAATACCTAGTACCAAAAAGTTAAGTAATTTTTTTTAGGGAACGTAACTTCATTCTGGTCTTGAATCAACAATAATAACAACAATAAAAGGTTAGAGTGAAAAGATTTCATTCCAACAATAGCTCTTAAACTTGTAAAAGTTAAAAATTACTTAACAAATTGTATATGTGGGAGTCGAAGTTAACCTTGTCTATAACCTATGGAATACAAAGAAGTGTGCATCCTATAGATTTTTCCCTTAAATATGGATGAATGATATGTCTCCTTTTTTTACTTGACTCCAATTCAGTTTCATTCTTCAATGTGTTTAAGGTACACAGCTATATATCTTCATTTGAGACTAAGCTCAGATCTGCAGCCATGTGTTCTTCATTCATTTAAAGAAAGGCAATAGATAAATCAACAAAATAAATATATATTAGGAAGTCCTCGCTAATAAAACATTTAAGCAGGAATTTAAATTCAATTAGGAAGTCAGCTATGGGGTTATAAGAGCACTGTAGGTAAGAAACAATATATTAAAGATCAAAAAGCAGAAGTGTGTTTGGCATATCTGGTACATTCAGGGACTAGTAAGGAGGTTGGAGTACAGCAGCCAAGCAAAAAAAGAATAGTAGAAAACGATGCAGGAGAAACAGCAAAGATGCATACAGAGGACTGAGAAAACAATTTCAATATTGTTGGATGGCATTTAAGAAAGCGTGAGAGGAGAAATACGAGGACGTATACACAGTTCTTTTGAACACTTTTGTTAGAAAGCCAGGAAGAACAATTGAGCCTCTGAAGAACAAAAGGTGAAGGAAGGCTTTATTTCTGTTCTTTCATTTCAATATATGAGAGATACTCACAGATATTATAAAAGGGCTAAAGAAGTTAGTGGTTAAGAGGATAGATTCAAAAGGAAAAATATTTGGATTGGAATTTATAGTCCAATAACTGCACAACCTTGAGCAATTTTTCTGGGCCTCCATTTCCTTATCTGGAAATTGTACCCTCTCACACTTTGTTGCAAGGATTAAACATAATACATTAAATACGCTGCTATCTCAATTTCTAGGTCATACTCTGTTCCAATTAAATGAGAACATTTGAGAGGAGGGCTCATGTATTCTTAAGGTTTCCCAGGTGATTCCAATAAGCAGCAAGTTTACACATTCATGTACTACCCATAAAAGGAGAAGAGGGTAGAACAATGGAAATGCAGAAGGCAAAACACATATTCACTATTGTTGTAATAGTATGCTGTTAGTATAGCAAATCACATTCACTATTGTTATTAATAGTACGCTATTAGTACAGGAAATCTGAGCATCTCTGGCAATAAAAAAAGAGATAAAACAGATGAAGCATCTGTTGGTGCCTGGCACATCTCACCCAATAAATATTTCTCTACAAAATGTTTTTCTTTATAGCTCATGTTGACTCTTGGTCACCTACAATCTTAACCTTACTTAACAGTTTGGGTTATTTATATTCCATGCTCAAAATGTAAACCTCAAGGCAATGAATATTTATTAAACATAATTATTTAATAAGTATTTAATTTGTTAATGCAGAGTTTCCGAACATGATGCCTCACCATGCATGAGCTAAAAGTACACCCGGAAATTGTCTCAGCTATTAAGACAGTAAGACAGCTTGCAATTCTCCTGGCCAGTTGTCTGCATCAGCACTTTCTTTAGTTTTTCTGGGACACAGTACAAATACTATCGATTTCTATACATGACATAATGTGAAAAAAGTTGAGAAGCACTTAGTTACTACACTAGGATTAAGGTTGGGCTTTTGTTGTGTTTGTTTCGTGCAGTACTTGGGATTGAACCCAGGGTCTTTCTACTAAGCTACAGGACACCCCTACCTTTAATTTTTGAAATCAGTAAGTTGTTCAGGCTGGTCTCAAACTTGGCATCCTCCTGCCTCAACTTCCCAGAGTGCTAGAATTACATGTATGCACCACCATGCCTGGCTATTTTCCTCATTTTGTAGACGCTTTAAGGATACAGATATAGGTCCATTTCATTATTAATGAACACTTGAGGCCCAAAATCCAAGTAGTTAGAACTTGATAAAAATAAATCAAAGATCATACAGTCAATAAGAGCTACACGTGTCAAGTCTGCCTGTTTGAACTAAAGGACATCTAATATTCACTTAAGAGCAAAAAAATCAGGATGTCATAGATCTTATTACATTATTACCAATGGTTAATAAATTCTTGGGAAACTATGGGATAAGTCTTTTTTCCTCTCATCTAAGGCCTATCTATCTATCTATATCTTTTTTTCTCTTATCCAAGGGATGGATATATATATATATATATATATATATATATATATATAAAATATACATCTTGTACAAAATAAAATTTAATAAGTACTATAAGATATCTATATTTTAAATAATTTGCTTTTCAGATAATTGAACCAAATACAGTTTACATATGTAACATTTCCACATTACTCAGCATTTTGATCAATGTTTAGTCATGAATTCCAAAATATATTAACTATCTGGCCTTAAAGATGTATACACTATTCAAATATCAGAATTGAACCTTTAGTTTTAAGATTCCTTTTATAGGAGAGGTCCTGAAATGGATTGGTTGTATTACTATTATCTGGTACATTTGTGAAACACAAATTACTAGGTCTATGGCAAATTTTCCTAAGCAGTAATTCTTAACTAGAGAATCTATACTTTAATGAATGAATGAGCAGCCAGGTTTGAGAATCTCTTTAAATCTGTGCAAAAGACAAGCATCACTTAACCTTGATTTCTGAATTTAAAATGAGTAACATTCTACTAAGGTTTCCTCACTAAAAGCAGTATGTACTATAGCTCTCAAATTCTAGCATACCTTAGAATCACCAGAGGGCTTGTTAAAATATTGAACTAAAAGGTCTGGGGGTGGAGGCCTATAGTTTGTCTTTCTAAAGGTTCCAAGGTGATGCTGATGCTGATGCTGCTTGACTTGGAATTACAACTTTGAGAACAATTGCCTGTTATTTCATTTCAATATATAAGAGATACTTACAGAGGCACAACCATTTGTACATCTACAAGACTTCCACAAAACTGACTTTGAATGATTTCTCTGAAATTTGCTCAGCTCTGTGTCGGTAGCCAAATTACTGAACCTCCCTCTAAGCATCATCTGCAGCATGGGGTTATAAATATTACAGTTTTGAAGATAAAATAACAATAGAGATCCCACAACAACTAGCACATACAAAGGACTCAGAAAGATTAGCTGTTTACATACTTTGTTAACTGTTGTTATAAGGAAGACAGATTTCTGACCTTAATTTAACTGGCAAGGAACAAACACAGATTTAGACCTGATTAGAATGTACCTACTTACCTTCCACCTAATGAAGCCACAGCAACTTCTCTTTCCTACTGCTACTACTGGATATCCCATTACATCTTTTCCAGTCTTGCCACACTATTTGAGATTTACCAAGAGCACTAACCCTGCAGATAAAGTCTTCTCTTTCATACCTTTACTGGGCTGAGCCAGAGCTACATGATCCTCAAAATGACACCTTGGATAAATCCATCAGTCCCCTAACCTGAATTTTAGAATCTTTCCACGCCATTACTGTTGCGCTTTCCACAGCTTCCCTCAAAACCCGACTGTAAACTAGTACATCTCTGCTCCCCAAATCAGAAAACGTGTGTGTTCCAGTTCCTGCTTCTTAACTTGATAATGGACATAGAACCAGTTTTCCTGAGTTCCCAGTAGACACAGTGTTATCAATGGTGGCTAAATTCCAGGACACTAATACTAAGCTACATAAGAAGAAGATTACAAAGGCTTCTTTGGGCTAGCAAAAGCAAACTAAACATCACTTATAAGATTATATATTTAAAAAAAAAACCCAGGTTCCACAGAACCTTCACCACATTGGTATTTTTTCTCCTTCTTCAAATGTTTATGCAACACCTTTCTGCTGAGTCTGGATTTCCTTCTGCTTGGAATTCCCTGTTCTTCGAAGTTCCCATTCCCCCTTTAACAAGCAACCTGAAGGCTTCTGTGAATGTTTTCTGGCCATTATCACACCTCTGCCAGGCCCCAAATATACATCAAAACTCATGCCCCTCCTCTATGAGCTTAGATCTACAATCACCTCTTTCCATCACAGCTGGGTTTTTCCTCATTTTTTTTAATTGTGAAAAATGTCAAATATTCAGAAAAACTGAAAGAACATGTCACAAAACACCCATATGCCTGCCTCAACAACAGCCAATATTTTATCAAATTTATTTTCTATTTATATATATACACACATATTTGCTGACTATTTGAATGTTGTAGGCATCCGTATACATCATATAAACACATCTCCAAAATAAGTACCTCTTCCTACATAACACAATACCATCTCCACTAAGAAAATTCGTTAACAGTTCTGTTAACATTGTATGCAGACATGGATGGATGCCTTTGCAGAATAAGGACCTCATCTACTTATTCCCAGGACTTAACTGGGTGATCAATAAATGTTCTATCAGTGATTCAGTTTAATACCTTTACAATCGCTTGGCAAGTATATAGGTTTAAAACTTAAGTAACAAGCTTTGATTGTATAACTCTGTGCTGCAGTAAGAATAGTACTTGAGGTTCTTAACTACTTCATCGTGCATCACAATACCGAAGCTCCAGGAAGAAAGAGATCCTGCTGTCACTTTTCAGACAAAGTAGGCACATACATAAAACAAAAACAACACTAAATGAATAAGTATTGTAGCCACTGAAAATGTTACGGAAAGAATTGGAATTCTGAAAGAACATCAGACAACAGAGTATTGATTTTGTAGTGAAACGCGTCTGATTCAAACGTTTACTTGTAGCCAAAGTTTCCTGGGGTGAGCTACCAGACCTCTCCAAGCCTCAATTCTTAACCTTTATAAAATGGGGAGAATCTAACAGACCTCCTGGTATCGTTGAGGAATGAGAATGTATGTATGTGAAGCACTTGGCATCGCTCATTACTGGCAGCTATCTTCGTTATTTCATCTGCCTGAAACAAAAACTATCTCACTGAATTTCTAACAGCCCCACGAAACCCTGCCCAGTGGGGAGCTAGGATGCTTGCTTGCTAGGTGCTAAAGTCAGCCACGCTCCCTACCTCTTCAACTAAGCCTTTCCAGCACGCAACGGAAAGACAACTACTACCCCCAGGACTCCAAGGGTAGGACACTTCCAGGGAGTTGTCCGGAGCCTCGGTAAGAGATCCAAAGGTCACCATCCGCTCACCAGCACGAACCCTCTCCAGCGCATGAGGTGCGGCTGTGACCTGCAGCCTCCGGCCGCACCATGCCAAGCTCCAACCACGCACAAGGCTTTTGTTCTCTGGGTGTGGAGGCGGCGACGAGCACAGGCACAAAGACTAAGGAATGAAAGATTACAGCAACCCCTCCCGGGATCGCAGCTCCCAGCTCAGGGCTGCCCACTTTGTGGTGAGGGGCACGCAGCTAGGAGAAGCAGCTCTGCAGCTACCTTCTGGCGGAACTGCAAGGCCGGGCGTTTGAAAAGAAAAAAAAAAAGAAAAAAAAGGAAGCAGTGGGGCGGAGGAAGAGCGCAGAAGCCGCGAAAGGACTCTCAGGCTGCTCTGTCGCTGCTGCGCGCCCGCCCGCGCTGTCACCGCTGCAGCACCTGCCCCTCGCGGGCGCGTGCTCTGCGCCTCCTGGGTCCGCAGGGCACGGCAGGGCACGGCAGGGCACGCAGCGGTGCCAAGCAGCCCTCTGGCGATGGGGTTCGGGGTCTCCATCGATCTCGGGGCCCTCACCTGGCACGGCTGGGGTCGCCGCTCGAGCCGTAGCGAAGGGCCAAGCCCCTCCAGGTCTCGCTTTCTCCCCTCTAATTCTCGGGACAGGGGTGCGGTGCTGGAAAAAAGACTTCAGCTGCAGGCGCAGGCGTGGGTCTCCTCCCGCCAGCAGCCGCTGAAGGGCCACAGCTGTCCGGTACCTCAAGCACTCGTACACCTCATGCGTCTCGGACACGCCTCTTCCCCGCCCGCCCAGGGTCTCACACGGAAATGTCCCCGGGCGGAACAACTTCCGGTAAGTGCCCAACGATCCGCCCTCGGCCTTGCCGAGCCACTTCCGGCGGCGCAATATAAATCGCGAGAAGAGCCTTAAATCCTGTCGTTTACATTTAGGACCACTTCGGTGAGTGGTCGTTCTGGTGTGCTTTGTCATACGTACTTTTTTTTTTTTAAGCGAGTTGTAACCTGCAGATGATTTCAAAGCCACTCCCTTACTCCCTTCGCCCGACGTGGGGAAGAGTTGGAGTCCGCGGAGAATTTCCGCCGGCGCCGTCGGGCGGGGAGGGCCGGGCGTTGCGCGTTCCCGCTGCGCTGGCGGGGCAGGGGTCCGTGCCGGGACGTGGCTCGGGCGACCGAGCTTCACTCAATGGCCTTCTTCCCCGAGATGCTAACTTTAACTGGAGCTTGCCTCGAGCAATCCGTTAGTTAACAAGCCGCCCAATGCTTAAAAACTGCCTCGTCGCAGTCGAAGTAGCGTTTGAGACTCCCAAGCGTTATGCGTGAATCCCAAAGTGGAACTGGAGAGTTCGCACCATCACCTTAATGTAGTTGTCATTTTATCTTGAGACTTTGCCCCACATTAAAGTCACCTGGGCCACGGGGAAATCTCCAGTTCAGGAGAGAAGGTCGTCAGGAAGTTTTAAGGGGAAAAATACACATTTTTATCTCACTGTCGATTTCTCTTAGGAAATCATAAGCAGGTCTGAACCCTCAGTAGAGAAATACTTTTTAAAGAGGAAACGACAACTGTTTGACATGCTTTTTATGTTCTTTGACCTGTTAACTGGTTTTCAGCCTGAATACATGATAATTGTATAAGGTCTTAAAAATAACTGAATCTGATGCTGGAAAAATAACATGGGGGTGGAGGAAGGAAGAAAAAAAGAATTGAAATGTGCCACGTACATGTACCAGTTCCCTGCAGTGAGTGCGAATGCAATCATGTACTGCAAAGTACTAAATCATGTACTAACAAAAGTGAAAAAAGAAAGATGAGCGTACAAAAAAGAAAAAAGAAGTGAATTTATCCTATTTGGCTTCATGTGTATGCACGTGGAGTTAAAGGCATTAGTCTTGTTCTTAAACAAATTTGTGTGGCAGAACGAAGCAAATTATAAAGAAGTACGTGGTGTATTGATTTCTCAGTCTTTGATGTTACAGAAAATGGTACTGGTCCATACTTCAGAGATTAAAATAACATAATTCAAAAGTCAGAATTTTACCCTCATTGTGTTTGTTCTGTTTGGGGGGGGGTTGTTACTGTTTTTCTTTTTTCTTTTTTTTGAAACATTACAGATTTTATGTACTTGGACTGTATACAGATTGTAATCTTTCAGAGGCTTAAATCTGTAGCTTAATGGGTTGGGGTGGGTGTGTGTGTGTGTGTGTGTGTGTGTGTGTGTGTGAATTGGGTAGTATCTCACTGTCCTTTCAGGAACTTCATACTACCCACTTATGTAAATTTCTCTCCTCTGTTTGCCATGGTCTCCCCAGAAGCTATCCTCTTACGATTAAACTTTTTTTGATTATTCACTTCTTGAAAGCAAAGAAATCTTTTTTCCTTTCTTCAAATTATAGTTAAGTGCACACATTATGAAGTTTGTTGTAAACCAGTACCAAAATTCCTTAACCAAAATTCACTATTTTGGTACCGGCACTAACCAGTACCAAAATTCCTTTTTGTTCAAGAAAAATTAACTTACATGTAGTGCAGAAGAATATGCGTTCTGGCTGCTGGCATCGTTTGAACATTTACAAAATATAACACGATTGGAACAGAGTATTTTGCAATTTACAATGATCATGAATATATTTATTTATTTATTTATTTATTTATTTATTTATTTATTGTCTTTTTTGAGACAAGGTCTCGCTGTGCAGTTCAGGCTGGCCTTGAGCTCACTTTGTAGCCCAGGCTGGTCTCGAACTTGCAATGATCTTCCTGCCTCAGCCTCCCGAGTGCTAGGATTACAGGCGCCACCACGCCCGGCCATGAATATATTTAGAAGTAATATAAAATTACATTTCCTGTTTAAATATCACATAACAGGTCCAAACTATGTAAGTAACATTTCCCTTGATGGCAATGAAAGACTTTAAGCAAACCTTTTGAAGTGTATTTATTCATTTTCTTTTTCTCCTACTAAAATTAACATCTCAAAAATAGCATTTGAATATTTTAGCTCAAAGACATCCCTGTCTCTTTTCTGTACTGCAATTATCCCTCACAGATAATATTCTGGGAATGCTCTATTCATGCATAAGCAGATATGTGACAAGAAATTGAACTGAAATAGCAACTGATTCAGCGTATCATTTAAGTAATGTCTTTAAATACCCTTTGCCTAGGTTCGCAATGGTCCGTAGTGGGAAAAATGGTGACCTTCATCTTAAACAGATTGCCTATTATAAACGAACTGGTGAATACCACACAACCACACTGCCAAGTGAGAGAAGTGGCATAAGAAGAGCAGCAAAAAAATTTGTCTTCAAAGGTGAAATCAACATCTAGATCTTGAGTATAATCTATAGGTTCTTTTCCACCTGTGTTCTTCGTAGAATCTTAAAACTTTCAGTGTAACTAATGCTAAATGATTAGCAGTTAAACTGATGAAAACACTCAGAAGCAGAATAGAAATCACACCGAAGTGAACTGAAAGCTAGTAAGCCTGAAAGGGCCTATTAAATTATAGAAATACTATGAGAAATAATGAACATTTACCTAAATTAACTTCTGCTTTTGCCCTCTGATGGTTCCTACTCAGGTGGTATACCATACTTACTAGAGCTGATGCCACTGTCATTGAGGAACTTTTTTGATGCTTAATATGAAAATGTTGACATAGATAAACTAATGGAAAGAATGGACTATATCCATTTCCATGGTCCCTTCTCCCACTGCTATTAAATATTCTCAGGATTAGTTTTATTTTTAATCCTGATGCCCCTGAATAGATTAAATAATTGAAAGCCAGGGCAATGATTATCTTGAAAGTTCATGATTTTTGTCCCTCCTTCAAAGGGGAGAAGTTTAGGATAAAATAAGCAACAAGGACAGTCACCAAATACCTAAGTGAATGTTAGTATGATTGATAGGGGTTTTCCCCAAAGCACATCAAAAAAATGGTAGCACAATAAATGCCTGTTCGTGTCTCCCTGTGTACACCACTCTGAGTAACTCTTTCTGCTTAAGAACATGAAAACCCTTAACCTCTTAGACTCAGGTGAGGTTTCATTTATTTAATCGTTTATGTTAAAATGTGTTTACTGAGTTCCTCTTGTATGCCAATCACATTTTAGGCCCTGCAGAAATTTGCGTGGATAAGATAGATAGGGTTCCTGTCCTCAGGCTGCTTACTTTGTAGTTTAAGTAAGGAATGTTTGATTCAGCACATGCTTTACTATATTCCAGAGTTTGAGTTGCTCCCTGACCCAGGCTAGTGAAGTGATTTGGTTTTTGGTTTTTGTTTTGGTTTGGTTTGTTTTTACCCACTTGGTTGATTTCCAGCTCCAGATTCTTCCTAAGCAAAACAAAAATTCTGCCAGATGCAACTTACTAACTTGGTGAGACCTGTCTCAAAATTAAAAAAAAAAAAAAAAAAGAAATACAGCTGGAAATACAGCTCAGTGTGAAAGGCCCTGGGTTCAGTCCCCAGTATGGCAAAAACAAAACAAAGCAACCTTAAGGGTACAGGTTTTCCCACTATACCATCTCTACCTTCTACTCAAATCTAGGAAAAGCTGGGAGATATGGTTGTCTCTAAAATTATACTCAGGATGAAATGTTCATACTCTCTTAGATAATTTCATACTCCCATAGTTACCACATACTCTGGTGAGCAAGCTAGTTCTGCTTGTATTGATAACTCCACAATTACAGCAGCCAGTGTTCCTCCTACATACCTAGTGTAACAGCTGAGAACCTTTTAGATTGTACAGTAACATCATAACAAATAAATATTTGTTTTAAATAGAAACAGTTTGTAAAAAACATCCTTTTAGTTTGAAGATAAAACTGTTATCTTAATACTATATATAGATCTCTAAAAATTACAGTTCCTTTTTTATATCGTTTGTTTCAGAAAAAAAGCTCTTTTATGTTGGAAAAGACAGAAAACAAAATCGTTTGGTAATTGTTTCCGAAGAGGAAAAAAAGAAAGTCCTAAGAGAATGCCATGAAAATGACACTGGAGCTCACCACGGTATATCCAGAACACTCACTCTAGTGGAATCTAATTACTATTGGACTTCTGTGACCCATGATGTCAAACAGTGGGTATGGCTTATGTATTTAGAGTATTTTGACTGTGCCTTTCTAGTAAATATATCAAATTCTTTGTTATTCCAGATTTTACTGTGGGTATCATCTTTCATTAAATACTTTGTGTATGGGTAGTTTTTATACCAAAAACAGCTAAAAGGAGTTTTATTTCTTT